CAGCTCCTCATAGGTTTTGAATGCTGGAAGGGACCTGTTTTGAGATACAATGAAATACAGCAAAGTATAGGTAACTCCAGGCTCTCAGAAATCACCCAGAAATCCCTGCGGCATTCCGTGTAGCCTTTTCTCTAACAAGGGCGCATAAAGATCACAACCTATAATTTTGGAGCCAGCTTTCTAAGATGAGCACAAAATTATGTGTTCTTCTAAATATCTGTTCCTCAGAAAGGCCCAAGAACAGGTTAAAAACTGGGACTGATTTATTCTGTGTTTGTAGATGAGAAGCAGAGAAAGTCAAGGCTCAGTTTTGCTTTTTGATCATGGATAAAATTACTCAAGGCGAGCTGCTTTCCATTGTGACTTTGTTCTTTTAACTATTCTTTTAACTAGTTTTTATACTTTTAATTATTCATACTGGTATTTTATTCTTCCAATGGTCTGTAATCCACCAAGAGGTCAATTGCTATGGGGCAGATTAAAAATAGAGCTTTAAAAAGCACAATTTACATTAAAAGACAACAATCCCCGTGGTCCACCCACTGTGTTTTTTAAAAGGTGCAAAGTGGACTTGCATTCTCGGGGAATGTTTTGGCACTCTTCGGCGCCAGTGAAGACCTTTCCAGTGGAGACTTCAGCATGGAAGCACTGAAATGGGACCTACTCGATTCCCTCCGAGTAGACATTATGTGAGTCAGATTCAGCTATTTGAAAATGCTGCTGAGCATCGGGTACCCAGCCTCGTTGGGTCGGGGAGCATTTTGAGAATTTTGGAAGGATGTCACGACCGCTCTCGCCTTCCGGGCATTCACAAAACAAGCGATCGTTGTGTTCAGTCACAGAATGAAAACCAAAGAACAGCAACTTCCTCCAGAAGTAACTACAAGGCAGAATCGGCGTCTGAGCTTCAAAGCCCTTTTTTAAACCCAAATGAAATGGTGCCGGAGGGGGCAAAACTTCCCTTCCCAGTCTGTCAGCCTCTCAATTAAAGTGGTAACATTTTAAAAACTTAGCGAAGAATGCAGAAACGATGCAATAGGCAGCAGGTCTGGTGGGTGCCCGGAGAGCTGTCTTTGGGGCACACTGGCTCCCATGAGCGCTATGCTGGATGTGGAGCGGGCCGCGCATGAGACAACGGCTTTGAATCATGGCAGAGTGGAGTTGCAAGGGGCCAGTCCAGCCAAGTCCCTGCTCCACGCAGGACCCCATCAGGAATTTTTGTGGACAGGGAGGGTTCTGCTGTACTCTGCCCAGGCGCAGTGCTTTCACGAAAGAGAGAACGGTCCTAGCCCTTGTGGAAGGGGACCGCTCTGGCCAGTGGCTTTGTGTGAAACGACTGCCTTTCCCTTTGTTCAGCCAGTGAGTGAAATAACAGATGCAATTGTTTCGGGAAGCTGAGTGGCAGAGAACAATGCTGAGGGGCTCAGGTGCTCATTCTCTGGAGAAGGTGCTTCCTGGCTTGGTTCGAAGCTTTATTTTGGGCTTTCCTGGTGCAGAAGTGACAGCAGTCGAGAGGAACACTGTCCTCTCCCCGGGCCTGTATATTTGCTGCTGAGGACCGGAGAGGGGAAAGCTGAGAGGACATGGCAAAGGAGAGTCCTGCAGTCCAGAGTCGTCATTCCATGTCTGGATTCTTGGCCTTTTCTTTGGAAAATGCAGTTGGGGAGCAGTTAGATTCCAGCAGCAATATGGGAGGGAAGGGATCAATTGATTTTCTATCCATGCGGAAGAAAATGGAGGAACTCCAGTTGCAGATGGGTGGTTACTTCCACCATAAATGCATACGTTCCAGGCCTTTTTGGTTCTCTTCCCCCAAAAAGTGATTGTTTGGCCTGCATTGACAAAATCGTTTTGTTGCATAAACAAATAATGCTTCCTCCAGAGTCTCTCCCTTGCCTCCTAGCCCTTTTTGTGTTTTGTTTTTGAGTGAGGAAAGTCTGGTATTAAGCTTTGAATCCTGACAAACCAGAACGAAAGCCTTGTGGAAAGAGGGGACGCTGCTGTACTGCTGAAAAGCTTGTGGTTGATTAACAGAACATACAGAAAAACAGAGAAATGCAAAGTTGTGTACGAGATGTGATCCCTCAGTGAAAATGAAAGATGCCTCCATAAGCAGCAAGTTGGGCTCCCCGTGCAGAAAGTGAGGCACCTTAAACCCCTATTACAAAAGTCACTTGCTCTTCCATGTTGCATTTCATTGCCATTTGGACCAAAGAAGTCCGTGTTTTCCCTCTGCATCCATTTCTGAGAATGGAGGAAACCACTTCTGCTGAAAATTAAGGAAGCTAACACTGAAATCGGTGTGGCTGCCTTAAGTTCCCACAAGACTCTTCCTCATTTCTAATTTGTGCTGAATGCAGCTTAATGTCAGACTCTTGCTCTGTCAGACCAACGCACACATAGTCCAAAATTTTTGGCAAGTATCCTAGTGCTATGCAGTCCATCAGAAACTGGCAATGGCCTGGATCTGCCCTCTGCTTCCATTTTCTCTTGTTGGGAGTATTGGAAAACTCCACCCAAAAGTCCTAAAGCTGAAATCTTACTGTACTGCCAGAGAGTAAGGGATGGATTTGGCTGACTGTAGTGTCAGCACTGTGGCATTTACCATAACTTTGTGCCATATGCCCGCATAAGTTGATTTGCTGCTCTAAATCCAAGTATTAAGGCGTATCTTCTAGAATAAATGGATTGCTTAGAATTAGCTGGGCAGCTATTTCTTCCCTTTTCAGAATGGAAATTCTTCGTGTTTCCCCTTTCTCCCGCCGTGCTGACTTGTGTAGGAACGAACTGGTTGAGAGGCTGTCCTATATTTAAGTAGAGCTTTTGACATTTGACTGCCAGTCTAGAAATAACTAGAGCTAACCATGCATTATTTTGCTTGCCAAGCTAAGCATCCATCCTTCTCAACTTGAAACCCTTCATTAAGTAGGTTTTGCTTCGGCTGTAAAACACTGAATCAGCTCGGGAATCTGAGTGCCAAGAGCTCGGCTTGACAATAATTTCCTTAGAACTTGTTGCAGCCTAATCCACGTCTGTTAGCAAGACTCACATGGCGGAGCACATTTCTGTTTCAAAGTTGCATTTCTGGGCCAACTGTGCTTTTTTCTGAATCCAAAATAATCCGGGCATGAGCTGCAGCATTCCCAGGTAGGTCCAAAAGGATCAGGCTGCAGGGAAGAAGGAGGCTTTGAAAGGAAACGCTTCAGTGGGATACTGGACCCTATTCAGCAGATGTAGATTCAAGCAAGTTTGCAGGCATTCTGTTCAATGTATTTGTTGATGGCAAGTCATCTCTGACTTCTGGCAATGGTATGGAGGAAAGTTGAAGGCAGAAGAAGACGAGGAAGACCAGCGATTGGGCAGATGGACTCTGTCAAAGGAGGCACTGCCTTGCATTTGCAAGAGCTGAGCAGGGCTGTGGAGGACAAGACATTTTGGTGGGCATCCATTCATGGGGTCAATGCATGTTGCAGCCAACAGGATGGCTTGCAACACCACGGATGAATGTTGAGCTGCGACTGGTGGAGGCGACACACTTGGCAGCACAGGGTTTCCCAGGAGATCTGCTGTGGAATGGTTTGTGTTGTGTCATTTCAGCTGGGCTAAGACAGGTACTATGCTTTCACTTTCTGATTGTATTTAGCATCTTCTCCTCTAGGTATGACTCAACAGATGTGCCAGAGGCATCTCCGCTCTCCCATGCTTTCTTATCCAAGGAGATCCTTTGATGCTCTTCCTAGGACTTCCCTGTCTTAACCAGACTGTAGAGAACACAATATTATGGCGCTAGGTAGCTCACAGACGAACCTCACAGCTTTGCCCCGGGGCGAGGGAGGAGGGAGCGAGGAGGCCTGCCAAGGGCAGGACAACCTGGGGGCTTCATCCCTTTGTTGCCCTCAGCTGGAGATGGCTTGACAGCGCATAGGAACGTGGATCTTCCCCCCTCACTCCACGGCCAGTTCCGCTTAATGACGACAGCATTCATTCAAGAAAATCACAGCACAGGGCTCCATGGTCAAAGGAAGCTCGAGGACCCCACGAGGTTAGGTAGGCCAGTCCAGCATTCAGAGGAGGCCTTCTGGGTGTGTAATGCCCTCTTGCAAGCTGCTCCGTGCCAGAGAGAGACCGTTGTTCACCCACACACTGCCCTCGCTGTCGCGTTCTGGGAGAAGGAGAAACCAAGACAGAAGACCCTCTTGCTGAACTGCGGCACATGCGAAGGGGGAGGAGACAGCTGGCAGAGAAACAAACAGATGAACGGTGCGCAAGGCTGAAGGAGAGAAGCCGAGAAGCATCCAGGCGCGTGGAGGCAGCCCTTCAGAAAGCTCTGCCGCCGTCGGTGAGCTGCGCTCGCCCTCCTGGCATGCCTTTCTTGAGTTTCACATGCTCTCCGAGACCCGGTTTCATCATTCTGAACATCTGCAGCATAAGCGTTGATCTTGTCCTTTCAAACAACACGCCAGGTTGCTAACTCTGTAGGTGTGCCTGTATAATCAGAGAGTTTAGAAACCTACCTAAGGACAGGGCTTAATTTCTAAGGTCACATTCTGGGTGTTTATAGGCATTTCCACCCACACGATAAACACATTTTTAACTTGCTTGTAAGTGAGAATCCCACCCTCACTTTTGTTGCCTAGCAAAACGGGTGCCGTTCATCTTGGAAAACTCCACAACATGGGACCTTGAAGAAGTCTTTGTTTCATTTAGATTTCATTTATTTTGAAAGGGACGGATATTAATGAATTCTACTTGATTGACAGCACAATCCTACGTGAATACTTTGAGACATGTGCCACCGAGTTCTGTGTGCCATAATCCCAGGTACATATCTATAAAGTTATGCCTTACATCTACCAATGAATCAAGTTGCAGAGCGATACCAACATGGTATTGAGATCCATGTCTGTGTCTTTGGAGCAGGTGAGATGGGGTGGGTTACGACAGCTGCGGACTTGATGCATCATTCCAGATGTTCTAAACAGGTCGCATCTGTCTTGTAGGTGCTGATTCTCTCTGCAGAAACAGTTTCAGCTTTAGCGATGAAAAGCTGAATTCCCCGACTCTGTGTGCTCCAGGGATTTCCACTCCAACAACAGCTTCACAGAAAGGTAATATTTTAGGTCAGGGCACGTGGATAACATTTCAAAGGGTGGTTCCTGAATGCTGAAGTGCCGTGGGCCACTTTGTGTGTGCTGGCTGTCCTCTCTAGAGCCAAGGCATCTCAGGTAAGTGATGCAGGCCACCTGCAAAGCGAGCCTCCTTGGGTTTATGCACAGTGGTGTTCAGAAGACTCCTGCTCTCTCCAGGTGTGGAGGCAGACCTTGGGAGCTGGGCTGGGGCGGGGGGGTTGGAAGTGGAGGTAGGGGAGAGCAGCAAGAGGAGCCCAGGCGGCCCCTGACCCCATGACGTGGCCCTGGGAGAGAAGGGCTGGCTAGCGAGAGGGCCTGCGCAAATCCAGCAGGCCAGGCCTTCTCCGGCAGGACACGCCCAGAGCGGTGGAGTCCCGAGGTACTGGGAAGGAAGGTTCCTGGAAGGAGCCTCTAGTCTGGGTTCAACAGACAGCTCCATGCTTGCTCAGAGGCTCTGTTGGCTGTTAGTTGGCTGGTGGCACATTGGAAATAAAGTCCTTTTGCCAAAGAACTGTCTGGTTTGAAAGAAAGGAGGGAGGGAGGGAGGGAGGGAGGGAGGGAAGAAGAATAAAAGGAAGGAAGGAAGGAAGGAAGGAAGGAAGGAAGGAAGGACGGAAGGAAGGAAGGAAGGAAGGAAGGAAGGAAGGAAGGAAGGAAGGAAGGAAGGAAGGAAAAGGGAACCCAGCTCCCAACAGCAGCCCTGATACCTGCTGTTATCAAAGACCAAGTGGCAGAGATACTTTTCACGTGTGCGAATGGAGCCGGGTCAGTTCAATTCAGGTCTCAGTGGCCTGGGAATGTTCAGACTGGAATTGGCTGGGGGTTCTAGTCAGGTGCAAGGGAGGGAAGGACGGTTAAGGATGAATGAACTCAGGTGCTGCTTTTAAGCGCCCCATCAGTTCAAAATGAGATTTCCCTTGCTCATGGTTTAGTAATGGTGGCTGATCAGAGATAGTTGATCTGGCGTGTATATCCGAGACCTGGGTGGGTGGCCAGAGAAGAGCGAATCTTTCTCAGCTCAGTCCACCCTGGTGCTTGGGCAGAGTGGAGGGCTTGGAAAATGGAGCTGCTGCAGTCTATGGGAACTGCGTTGGCCTCTCTCCAACTCCTCTCCATCTGCCTGCTGGTTTGGAGGGTCTGCAGATTTTATGCTCTCTGTATCCGCAATTTTTATCACATCTTGCTTTTTTTTTAGAGGCCCCTAAGTAGTAAATCAGGAAGCTGCTTTTTCACTTTTGAGCGACAAATGAGGCTGTACTTAATTATTTATCAGGCAATATTTAAGCCCCGGAAAATCAACACCTGGGGGCGAGGCAAACACTGCAAAGTCAGTGCTGTCTTGGTACACACCTGAGTCTTGCGCTTGTCTTTGCAGCAAAGCTGGGAGACACAAAGGAACTGGAAGACTTTATTGCGGATCTCGACAGGACCTTGGCAAGTAAGTCGGCACACCTGCTTCGTTGGCTGGGGGGCGGAAACCCCGTGCTCCTCCCTGTAGTGGCTGCTCACAGATCCGAATAGGGATGAATCCTAGAAGGGCAGTATGGTGAATTACAGGTAGGACTAATGGAAGCTCAAGTTGGGCACGTGTGTTGCAGGTAAGGTGGTATTTCTGAGTTCCACTGGATCACCTGGGTATTCTTCCGCATCGTTTCAGTTAAAGTTCAGGAAAATGACCCTACAAGTTGCCTTTTGTGTTCTGCCATTAACATTTGTCGTCTGCGATGTTTCTGCAGGCATGTGAGATGGACGCCTTTGGCCCAACCCTGTCGCCAGGAGGAAGCGGCCGAGTCTGGGCCATTGTCTGATGGGACAGCAACCTCTCCTCAGTTCTTCTAAACAGTCACGACTGCCGGTTCTTTCATTTCCTTGCAGACAGATTAAAATAACAGATAGGCTCCTGCTGTACTTTTTCATAAAATAGAGCTGAATATTAATTTAAAAGTGCTTTTATGGAAAGATTTGTAATGTTATAGAGTTCACTTTAACGCTTTGGGGTACAGTATATTTTTGTAAACAAATAAAGACTGGACTGGAATTGTAAAAAAGGAAAACGTATTTGGTTTCAACAGACTGTGAACTGTTTTGCATTGACAGCCCAGCCCTTTGCTCCAGGAAGCTCACAGCAGCCGCCGTAGGGTCTCTTCACCCGTGTGCTAGTCCGGCGCTTCCAGAGCATCCGGCTTATTTTTACCTCCCTGCTCGGAATATTCCAAGTTTGCAAGCTTCCCCTCTTGCATCCATTAGCAGAATGGCTGCCTTGCCCAATTTTGCCTCTCCTCCCCCAGGGCCCACTCACGAAGCTGGTGGATATGCTTGTGTGATATGACAGAAGGGGCTGAGAGCAACACCGCTGCAGCAACACATTCCTCCTCCTCGTCAGGCCAATTAAGCCCTTGGCCGCCGGGCAGGTGGTCCACTGGACGCAGCAAAAGAGGAGCAGTGGCTCTGGAAGACGGCTTTTGAGATTAAGTCGCTGTGCAGTGTTTCTGGACCAGACATCTCCAAGGCTCACTCCAGATGGTCACATCCTCACAGAACAGTAAGGTGTTCCACTTGCCAGCTATTTTATTCCAAGATTGCTCTCATTCTTAGGGTAAAAATAAGCCCTTTCCCTTAGAATAAAGCTATTGTTCAACCAAGGGTAAAGTTTGCCTTCTTGTTAGCAGCTGGTTTGAGGAAAAAAGCCCCTGCACACGTTACAGTGATGAAAACAAAGGTGCCTGTGGACGCATCTAAACGTAAACTTTGCTCCTCATTCAGTGTAGCTGCTCTGACACTTTTCTTAATTTTCCATGCTGCAGACCACAGCAGAAGATAAAACGGTGCGCAGTCCCTAAACGACTGCGTTGCGATAGGGAAATGCAGAAGTTTTGGCTCAGTGTGTGGTGTTCCTCACATATCCTGGAGCATCAGAAGAAAGTGTTCGAAAATAGCAACAGAAAGTGGATTCTTGCTTGTTGTTAATACAGGAATGCATGATGCCACAGGGGTAACCTAGTCATTATGAGCATCGCCAACATACAGACTCATGGCTGTGCAAGGAAGCATGATTTTCAGGGGCAAATAAAGCACATCAGGAACATGATGTGAACATGATAATCGAATTACAGTGTGGCTGCACTCTAACACAAGACCATTGTTACATACAACATGCTTTTATCGCAAACATCTATGCAATGAGATTTTATATATGTTCACAAGAAACTGAAGACCTTTGTTTATCGAGCTCAGTTATGTTAATGTCACACGTGGTGATAAGAGCATCTACCCAAGAAAAGTGTTAATTTCCTCAGAACTATGAAAATAAAAAATTATCTTAGAAGTTTTGGGTACGATTTCCTTTGTGGTTATTACATGTGACATTTACATTGAATTGTGGTGTCTCTCTTGTAGAAAGTTTGCAGCAGAAACTGCACAAGTATCCCTGAAAAGAATGTGCAAGTGTGTGGATATTTAGCACAAAATTAAACTCAGTTGTTCGAGGTTCTCAATCAGTTTCTGTTGCTGGACCTGTTATACCAAATGCTGGTTAAGGAGCTAGTCTGTGGTAATACAGTTAATTTAGGCATTTTCATTTTCATCAGCATTTCACCCTGAATGTCCTGCAAGCAAGTGCTGTATTTACATGCGAGGCATAAGGGCAAAGAGGGGGTCTTGGAAGACTGTCCGTCAGCTGCAACGAACAAGGACGAGTTGTCTGAGCATTCTGAAAAAGGAGAGAAAACTAGACTCCATTGTACACAAATCCAAAAAGAAAAAGAAAACAAGCAACTAGTCTCTGGATCCTGGAAAAATAATTTATTTCAGGCCTTCCTTGGGGGCTATAGAAAGAGGCCATTCATTTTGCGCCATGTGTCTCCATTGCCAGAATTACATGTATACATGAGCCCAGCTGCTTCCTCTGGGTGAGGGCTTCCCGGGCTGGCCCGTCCCCAGGCCGGCCTGAGGAACCCGCAGGGGCTGCGAGCCCGCGGAGGGGATGGAGACACGCACAGCTCGCCTCCTCCGATTCCTTCGCCGGCGTGCTTCTTGGCTTAAAGCTGGCCTGGCTTGCCTCCTGCTTGGAGATTCATGGGCCCTGCCTATTTCTGTGGGAGAGTAATTGAATAAGCAGCTATACAAAGGGGAGCTATTTGTATGGGATTTGTGACGTCAGATCTCATGCATTCATCCTGCGTTGTCCGAAAACAAGAGCTCCCCATCTTGTGTTTTCTGCCTCCCATTTCAATTAATGCAGCCTTTCATTTCCACGAACACACAGAGGACTGTATTTCTGGGGGCTGCAGTGTGGTAAGGGGGCAGTCTCCGACGATTCAGCCGCTCACAGTATGCTTAGGAGCCCCTGGAGCATGGGGCCTCCAACTACGGCCTGCGGGCCGGATCTGGCCCGCCACGCCCATTTAACTGGCCTGCCCCAGAGGTTCTGCACTCGCCCCACACGTGCACGGGCATGGCTTGCTCACGAGGAAATCATTTCGGACTCGCTTGGAAGAAACGATCACCGCACAAGCAAGCCGCTGCCTCGCCCCATGCAGCTCCCTGCCCCCGCCGTGCCTCGCCCCTTGCACCCCCCCCCGCCCCCCGCCAGCACCTTTCGACTGGCCCCGTTGGAGCAGTTTGAGGACCCCCGCCCCGGAGGCGAGAATCATCCTTCACCTGCCTCATCGGCAGGGGCTCGGCTCTGAGCGAGCTCCAGCCAGGCGAGGCTGTGCATGAAGGTGCGCACCATCGCGTGCGTTCCGCCAAAAGCACTGCGGCGCCGGCAGGCAGCTTCCGCACAGGGATGTGACGGCAGGGAGCTCTTGGTCACTTCCACACAGGCCCGTGCGCACAGGCGGACGTGTGCAGAAGACGAGCCGCGACACTGCAGTGGCGCACGTGCCACTCAAGCAGGGCTGGTACACGTGAAGCTGCTGGTTGCCGTAACGTCACGGCAAAGCTTTGCTGAGGACCACGCTTCTGTTTGCGAGCTACAGGTTTTCGCTCTCACCTCTGGCCATTGTAGCTCTGGGAACTTCATGGAAGGAATGTGTCCCTTCCTCCCCCAAAGCTTTGGCGGCATCCTAAAAGACTCTCCCAAACAATGCGGGATAAGGTGGGATGGGTCAGCTCTGGACGTTTGCCGACCTGCAAAGGAAGGAAGGAAGGAAGGAAGGAAGCAACTCCACCCCTCGCTCCTGGGGGCGAATTCCTCACCCTCCCAGCAGCACCAGTGCCCGATCCTAAATTGGGAAGGACTCCTGATTTCCAGAGAGGATCCAGGGACTGAAGCAGGAAACTGAGAGTCCCCTTATGAACCCCGCCTTCATCACCCCAAAGCAATCCCCGATGCAGCATCTATGCGGGGAGCCAACCGGCGTGTGTCTTCTTGGAGCACATTCTAGAATAGCAGCATGAAGGTCCATGGGCCTCTGCAAAGAAAGCCGCTGCTGCCCTGGCGCGTCAGCTCCGTATTGCTCACGCAGACCCGGCCTGTCCTTGATGTCTGAGCCTCTGGGAAGTTTTAACAGGGGAGCAGGGAATTGCATCATACAATTGTGCAGCCAGCTTTGACGGTTCCTTGGATGGTTAGTACTAAAGTTTGCTTAGCAAGATCGCATAATATTCTCCTCCTGGGATCACACCGTGTTAGAAATCACACTTCAGTTCTGCACCACACACAGAATAATCAAGCTTAGCAGACATTGTACCTTCGTGGTGAGGAATGCGTAGCCGTACTCCAGGTGTCCGAGGACTGCAGCTATCACCTTTCCTGCCCATTGGCCATGTCCCTGCTGCTGCCAAGAGTCAGAGTCCACCCACATCTGGCGGCCACTGGGGGGCCACGGACTGCCCCCGCCCCCCCTCGCACACAACTCAGAGAGCCAGCGCAGTGTGGTGGTTAAGCGTGCGGGACTGGGTCTCAGGCAGTCCAGGTTTGAATCGCAGCTCAGCCACGGAGCTCATCGGGCGACTGGGCCAGGCATACACTCTCATCTCAGACTACCTCACAGGGTTGTTGTGAGAATAAGCTTGAGAGGAGGAGAATTACGTCAGCTGCCTTGGGTTCCTTAAACAGAAAAAAGGCAGGAAATAAATAAATGAGTCTATCTTCGCATCTCTAGTATTCTTTCCCTTCAAGTCGCTCTCCTTTCCCAAAATACATATTGCTTTAGCATTGTAGTAACTCTCAGTGAGACTCTGGGGCTATTTGGAAAGAATATGTGTGGAAAATTTATGAACATGAACATACATTTTCCACTGCATTTTGTCAAGGGTAAGAATAAAAGATCTCTACATCGTGTTCTCCGACTACAAAGAGACCTTTATTTTTTCTGTCTAATGTCAGAATTTGGAAAACAGGTTCTTATTGTTCACACGTCTCTTGCTGCAGCAGATGGGCTATTTAAAGATGTTTTTTAGTGCTTGCCAGTGTTGCTAAACTGGGAAGAGACCAGAAAACCGACTGTTCAACATTGTGGCCGTCATGGAGAATCTCAAAAGCAAAGTGTAATGAATGCATCCATAAGCCAATTTGGGAAGGAATCCTCAATGTAGGGGTGTCTTGCTTATATCTCGTTTATATCTTCTAGAAAGTAAAATAGTTCTTTATTCTGCATTTTTAGACCTCCCTGTAACTAAAATTATCTGGGCAGTATACGCAATTACAAAATAATAAAAAGCACAAAGTGTAACCAGCAGCAGGAAGTCAGAGTCATGCAACACATAATAAAACATTAAACCCAGCAGCAAAACTGGGATAGCACAAAGATCTAAAGATCCGGAATAGCTTTTAAGAAGACTTTGAGTAAAGACCTGGATATGAAAAGGCCTCCTGGGAATGGTGTTTCATGGAAGTGGGGCTACCGCTGAAGAAGACCTATTTGGAAAAGGCTGATGGGGGTGCTAGGGTGAGTGTAAGGGGAACTTTGGGCAACCTGCCTTCAAGCTATTTAGGGCTCCATATTTAAAATCGGCACTTTGAAATGGCCCCAGAAATGAGTGGCAGCCTGCAAGGGCAGCCTTGATGTCCCCATCCTTGCAGCGGGGACAACCCCCAAGAAAAGCATCCCAACAGGAAATTATCTGCTTGTGAGAAAGGCTTAAAGGATAAATTCTCTGCCTCAGGATCACCGCTCTCCCGCTTGGCTGGGGGAATCGCAGCGAGCCACGCGTGTCAGGCGAAAGGCATGCTCCGACGGCACCGCGGCTGTAATGGCAGCCACCGTCCTTCGCCCTGGACTGCGAACGAGGGCGCGGGATGCAGCAACGGGCTTGCTCCACACGTCTCGCGAGGTTCACCCGCAGAACCGACTGCTTTGGCATGGGCAGCGAGGTCCCCCAGAACAACAATCCTGGGGCTCAAGACTGACGTCAAACCTCTATCAGCACAGCAGGGAGAGCCTATTCAACCCACCCAGCCTCTCTCCGAGCGCTGAAAACTCTGCGCACCAAAGCTTTGTGGTCTAGAACCCATCTTTGCCTTGGACGCGTCCTGGCTAAGTTCCTTTTTTTTTTTTTACCTGTACCAGCTTGCTTTGTAGGAAATAGGCATTTTGTCAGACTTTTCTCAGGCTTTTTGCAAGAGTTCCCAGAAACAACCCTCAATATTCTAAATGTGCCACCAACCAAAAAGATTGGGAAGCTCTGATCCGAGGGAACACTGCACCACTGTCGGGTTTCTCCAGGTGAAAACTGTCCCTCGCATGAGAGCATGGCTAAAGAGCTCTCTTGATGTTAAGAAAGGCCCCGAAGGAACACCGGTAGGAACTGTGTCAACAAGAATTGGGGCCTGAGTGTTGCTTTCCTCCTCCCGTCTCTCAATCCTTTTTGTCCCCTGCCTTTCAAACAAAGGTCTGGAGGTCGGTGCTGCTCCATTATTAATCTCCGTAAGTGTGGGGAATGAGACATTTTTTGCCTAAAGAGTCGGGTAATTATATATTTCAAAGAGACTGCTGCGGACTAGCTGCTTGGAGGAAATGGTTCTCCCCGATTAGATTTGCCAGAGGTCTTTGAATGCGAAGTTGTCTTTCTTCTGGCAGAAACTCTTTAAACAGCGCTGGACTCTCAAACAGCTTAAAAGCTGCCAAATCTGCAGCAAGCAAAAGACTGGAATCCTGGCATTCCTTCATAAGTTGCCAATGAATCGCTGCAGAGCTGCCGGGGAGAGAGATCCCCTTTGCCCTACAACACACATGGCGCCACAGAGACCACGAGCCCCTCCACTGCGGAAGTTCTGCATTTCAAGCACATTCTCACCCAGTGGAATTCTGTTTCCCAAGAGTTGTGCAAACCCCCCAGATGCATCTCATTTGCTGGCCACCCAGCCAAGCGGTCCTCTCCGCCCGTGACCAGTGCTGGCCAACTAAGAGGGGCCCTTGAGCAAACAGAGTGGGTTCTACCCACACACACCACAGTCAGTGAATGCAAAGGCGTGCGGTTTGATGCCAGACAGTCAAGCTTCGCTATCCAACAGTTTACGAATGGCTTCTCTGATGGTTGCTACAGAACCGAAAAACGAGTTGTTGTTAATCGCAAAGTCGTGCCCGACCCATCGCAACACACATAAAAATGAGAATATGTGCAGTTTCTGAAAGGGGTTTCCGTCTGGTTTAGTTTTGTGCATTCCAATCATGTTTTGTTCACAGCAAGAAAGTGCTCTGCTTTTTTGGACGCAGCAACATAAGATATAGGCACAAAATTATTCTACCAGTTCCTGAAAATAATTACCCAGAAAAGGACAGATCTCCTTTATTCTGCTCTCTTCAATAGACAAATATTCAGTGCAAAGCATAATTCTTAAGGAACTCAGAGCAGAAAGCTTAAATTTCAGAAGGGTTTGATTGCGGGTGTAGTTTAAATCGAGTCTTTGCTGAGGAGCAGACTGCTCTTCTACGAAATATTCACGTTCAGTCCTTACCCCAATGTAAAGCCTACATGGTTAGGGTCACAGCCCTTAACACGAGAGCTTCACAGTGATTATTCTGAGCTGTTTTCCATGTTCAGTTCTCCATTTCTGCATGAGAAGCTGGCCGTTCCTAGGAGCTCGACAGCATGGTGGACGCAAAGATCTGCTGCAGGATCTGCGGGAGGCCCTTGGTGTCCATGGCGATGAAGGAGCGGCCTGCTGGCAGTGTCCTCTGCAACCTGCAGGCCAGGGAGGGGAGCAGCACCACTGCGAGTCAGCACTGTGCAGTACTTCACACTCCTAAGGACAGGGGGGGCCGCTTCTATTCCTGAATCCGTGCACTGCGATTTGGACCTCAGAAGCTCGTCTGCCCCAAGTCCACCGACCTTTTATTCGGGCTTATGGAGAAACACATCAGCTCTCCTTTTCTACTCTCAGCCTAACGGAAAGCGAAACGAATTGCTCCGCTGGCAGTGGGGTCTGGGTGCTTATGTTCGTGAGCCCCTCGCCACCCCCTGCAGCTCCCCCGGGCCACCTACCTGTCCGCCTGGCTCCCCAAGGACCCAATGAAGACGGCAAAGGCATTCACTTTGGGATCGAGGGTCAAGGTCCGGGCAAACTCTGCCGCAGGGATGCCGTACCGCTCCAGGTTCGCATCGCTCAAGACGACGACAAAGTGCTCGTCCGCCTCTTCCTGGGCGATCTCCCGGATGGCGTGCGCCGTGCCTTCCAGGGTGTGGTCTCCGCTCATGCAGAACTGGGCATGAGCATGCATGGTCTGCAAGCCAGCAGGAAAGGCGTCCGTGAAAGCCGCTCCAAAAGGCGAGCACGTGGCCGAGAGAGGAGACTCCACGCCCGGCCGGGTAGCCAGAAGAAACTGCTCATGGCGGTTACAGGAGAAGGAACATGCTGGCATGGAGACTGAAGAGGAACCATGAGCCCAGCTATTCTGGGGGATGTACTGAATCCCCCCAAATTCTGGAAGGCAACCCGGAGATCTCCGGGGTTTCTCGGACGGGGGCACACTGGGAAACTGGAGAGAGTGTTGCCGGGTGTTCCGTTTTAGGGGAACTGTTGGCTCACATGATGCAGCAAGCCCTGAGCGGGGGTTGCATGTGCAACCTGGGGCTTGCGGGACCCCCTGCTCATGGTGGGGCACGTAACCCACAACAAGCCACAGTGTGACACACAGAAGAACCACAAGCATCCGCAGCTGTAACGGCGGGCGATGACACCATCTTCCTAGCTTTGCTACTCTAGCCAAACAACTGGGCCAGGAAGGAAATCCATATATTCATCTATTACAGGAAGGTGCTATGGGAGGGTATTTATGAAAACAAGTAATATATTGGTGCAGATTCCTAAATGAAAAAGGTTTTCCTCCCACATGTTTATCTGCACACAGCCCTAGCTAGTTTCCTTCTTTTTCCTGAAATTTGCAACACCAGACGTCAACATTTCAGTCAGTAAGGCTTACCTTCAAAATCTCTAATCTCTGCTTGTTGTTCTTCGGCACTTTGTCACTCTGGACCAAGGCAATGTTAAAACCATCTCCGGAATGTCCCTTGATGTCATACTGCATGCAAAACATTTAAATAAGCAGATTCCCGCAGTGGCACTGTGTGACAACATTAGTCTTCACAAGCGCAGGAGCAAAAAGCGCTCGCTCCGCTACTCCCCACCTGTGAATTTCGGTGCCCAAAACACAGCGGTGATCTTCATGCAAATGAAGGGGAGACTGTCCGTTCGTTTTAGGCCGTTACTCATTAGAATGTGCACCACTGGACCACTCTTTCAAGCACTCTGCAACGGCCCGAGCTTGTCGGGGGTGCATTTGGCAGGGCTATCATGGGAATTTATTTCCCTGCTCAATCATCCAGGGCCTGGCTTTCTATCTTCCAGTTTCCAGAAATGTAATTAATGAAGGAACAATGTTTATCTGGTGTGTCCGTTTCATCTCATCTGCATGGGAACAAGCCAGTGACACGGCTTGCTGGGAAGGCCAGAGCAGAACCAACGTCTCCAGCCGATCCTGGCTGCCCAACGGCCTCATCCCCCTCAACATGGACCCTTTCGTGGAGGAAAGAAGCGGCAACTCCGTGAAAAGTTTCAGCACGAGCTTCCCCCTGCCGAGCTTGTGTGCTTGTCCACAGTTTATTTAAAAACAAATTTCAGCTAAGAATTTGTGCCTGGTATTTGTACATTTATTATCTGCATGAGAATTAAATGCAGGCAATATCATTGGCTAAATTCCTTGGCACTTAGAACAAGTAAAACCTTACTTGATCAATTAAATAGCCTCTGAACGGGCATGAAAATGTTTTTGTATAAAGGAGAGGGGAGGCCAACCTTCTTGAGCGCTCCTCCAGCATCCTGGCGCTTTAATACTATAAAGTTTAACAGAAAGATTTGAAAAACCAACGTTTAAGGGACTGTTTGATTGATTTTTGTATCCCTCAATGCTTCCAATGACAGCTGGTAAATTCTCCTCAGTTTCTTGAAGAAAAAGAAAGGTCCAGTCATCCTAGTGTCAGTTCCTTCCCCCCGGTCTCCCTTCTTCCACACACACATTGGTAGCTCCTAGGTGCATTCCAAAATCACCTTAAATTTCTGCTCGTAATTCTCAAAAGCTTCCATAACCATGCAAACGGCTTCCATGGAACGCTCCAACCGCCCGTCGACTCCGTTGAAGCGGTACATGCTGCCGGAAACATCTACGACTAGGCGGAGGCGCTTGGGCTTCTCCTGTGGGCTCCCAAGCTTCAAGAAACAGATACAAGCAGCAAAGTTCATCAACTTAAATTCTCAGAGCTCACTCAGTGAAAAGTCATGACCAGACTGTTTATGTATTTATGCAAATCAGTGCAAACACAGGCGTAGATGGGACAGAAGTGGACCTACTTAATTTTCTGTGTCACCATCTCAAGCCCATAGCATCCCAACCTTGCCCTTCTTGCTACCAAGAACCTTTGGTCACCCCCAACCACTGAGTCTCCATTTTGGGAGCTACACGTGACCCTAATAAAGGGATGGCGGTTTCCTTAAGAGCACCGCCCTCCGGATTGTCCTGCTGATGATGCCCAGGCAGGGCAGGACGGGGAGAGAGCCTTTCCAAGCTGTCCTTTCCTCTCTGGCTTGGTTGGTTCGAGTGAGGTGGTCCAGTGGGTAGGACAGGTGACAAGGGACCTTCTCGGCCTTGAAGATCCATGCCCCTCTTGGCCCCGCCCCTCCCCTACCAGGACACACCCCTTTCCACCTTCCCCGTGCTCTTGCTGTGATCCCAGAAACACAAGTCCCTTCCCAGCCTTCCGTGGCCGTGGACCGTCCAGCATCCAGGCCCTCGGCTGCACCGCCTCCGAGAGCTCTCTCTGTGGATGTTGAGAAGGGAAACGGCAGCCTCTGCAATACTCCTGATTTCGGGGCCACAGAATCGCTCTTCAAACGATTACCATTGTTCTTATAAATAACCCCAAAGAGGAGATTTCTGTATTCAAGTCCCCTACGCTAGAATCAAAATCCAAGAAAGGCTGCACATGTGCATACAGCCAAAGCCACACTTTCACAGGAGAAGGTCTTTTGATTTTCAGAAAAGGGATCTCTGATGAGCGATTTATTCCAAAATCAACAGGGAATGTTCTTTGACTTGCATCGTGGGATAAGTCAGCTCTGCACAGTAAGGCTTGTCTGGTAATATTATAGCCTTTAGATGGTTTGAAATGGGATTTGGGCTGCACCACGCTCAGACTATAAAGTGGATCATTAAAAAATGAAACATCTGTTTTAACATTTGCTGGCATGTTTCCTGGGTCTGGAAAGGTATTTTATGATACATGAAGCAAGAAGACCTAGAAAATGAACACCAAGCTACTTACCGAAAGTTTGGCAAACAGATAAAAATGCCTAAAATATTTGTTTTATTTGACTGGCTTCCAATTTCGCTCTTTCGCTGACTCATCATCTAGATATTTTGTTTTGCATTCTCTCCTTTTCTCAGCATGATGGACAAGCTTTTCCACTCGGTGCTCCTTGTTTGATTTATTTCAGTCCAGAGGTTCAGAGCAGACACAACAAGAGGACGGAATTTAATCGGGAGCCCTCAGCTTATCGGAAGCACCGCCGTCCCGCAGGTGGGAGTGGCGACCCCTGACTGTGACCTGGTCTGGCACATGCCAGTGCGTCTTTGCACGGGCATAACGCTCCGTGACGGGACGCAGGACCGAAAAGGATAGCCGGGCATGCAGCGGTTTGTTGCAACACCCAAGAAGTGTGCTATTTGTTCATAGCAACGTTGGTCAGTTTCTGAGAGCTGCAATTAGATTTGCTTTTTTCCCCTTTTAAAAGTGTGATGGAAAAAACAAAAGCGCTTTCAGGAAGTGCAATTTAATGAGGGTAATTTGGGGAAGGGGGGAATAAATCCCCCCACTGTAGTCCCCTCTGCATTCTGCCCCCATCCCTGCAGCAGGCATTAAACTTTTTTTAAAAAGTAGCAGGGTTTTATCCCAGGATTGATGCCACTTCTAGTTACAGGTGAGTCCAGGAAATGCAAAACTAACTGCTGTGTTTTCAAACCTCAGCTAAGAAAAGAAAATCTCAGGATACGTCAGGAAGACGTTCTCGAAAGGAATTCTGCAAGAAGCCTGGCAATATGTGGCGGGAAGTGCCACATCACCCCAGAGCCTGGCGGGAGGGCTCCCGAGGCCACCCCCAGCTGCCCCCACAAGAGGCGAGGCCAACCCCACTGTGCCAGGCCTCCGAACGACACTGGGTCAGCCGGGCTGCGAGTTCCAGATATGACTGAGGCGTGCAGGGGGTGGGCGCTGTCTTGTGGAGCAGCCACATCTTTGTGTGGTACAGATGAGCACGCTCCGCCTCCCCGTGAGAAACACACCGCCAGGCAGAATAAGAGGAGGGAGGTGGGTTTTGCAGGCAGCCCCAAATTAGGCAGCAAGGCGCCAAACGGGCCGAACGGCGTGCGTGCCGGGAAAGGGGCTGATGCGCAAACGTACGTCGCTTGGTCCCCCTTCACTCACCTGTGGCTCGACATCTCCCCGTCGCTTATAGATGGCTTTTTCGCCTGTCAGACCGTCAATTATCTTGGCGTCATCAAGTTCTCCAATGACCTGGTGTCTCAGCCACTGTCTTTCCTTCCCTTTGGCCTAAAGAGGGGCAAAAGAGGGACAAGGAATGCCATCCTCAAGGCAGCCTTCCCACTGCTTTCAACAAAAATACCACATTTTTATCGGAACAATTCTACAACAGCAGAACCACCCAAGAAGAGCTTTCCTGCTGGGTCAAACCAAGGTTCCACCGAGTCCAGCATTTAAGTTCACACAGTGGCCAGCAGACTGCCTGTAGGAAAGCCACAAGTTCTGCTACTAATACCGGAAACCAAAACAGAAACAGGGTGGACTTCCAAGCAAATAAAAAATAGAGCACAAGAAAAAGGGCAAATAATTTCATATTGATATGAAATATATCCTTTTTGTACATCCCCCATTTTAAATATGAACCTTAATTGCTAGCTGCTAATCAGCAGAGGTAAGACACACTTCCAGGCTCTCTGTGACAAGCCAGGATCTCTCAGCAATCTGAAAATTACTGTTCCAAAGAATAACCCCCTCATTTAGTAAGCAGATCTTGAAGAAAGCTGTAGACTTGACATTTCTCAAATGCACACATTTCTTGAGACGGCTGCTTCTTGAAGTGTTGGCAATATATTGCTTATGGAAAGAGAGAGAAAAGAAAACAACAGAAGGCGGGCAAGTTTCAGCCTCACTGAATATGTGCTGAAATGGTCTGCTTGTTGTTTTCACTGACAAAGCTTTGAGACTGCCAGAGACGGGAAGCTGTGGGAAGCAAGCTGCTTTGAAATGTTTCAACAAGGGCTGGGACCCACTCTTAAGCATGCATGTACTCATTAAAGATGGTGCTGAAGCGCTGAGGAGCTGGTGGCATGGCACTGAGAACACCATTTTCTTCTGCTAATTCTGGAGTGCAAAATATTGGTGCATGGTAGATGGATGGGGTTCGGTTATTGAACAATGAGAACATGGGCAATACCTGAAAAGCGTCTCGCAGTGGGAAGGTTCCTTTGAAGAGAAGCCCTATGAGAAAAGGCCTGCAGTATTAGTGAAGTGAAGGCTGCTCTGAAAGAGCTTGGAAAGAATAAATCACCAGGAGTAGCGAGACAACAGCAAGTTGTTCCAAGCTGCATACCCCGAACCGGTCAAGATCCTAACGAGAACATGGCAAAAATGCAGGAAACAAAACAATGGCCCAGAGGCTGGAAAAGCCCAATATGCATTCCAGTTCCCGGGAAAGGGGATGCTAAGGGGCTGTAGGGCCTTTGCACGCATTTCCCATGTAACCAAAGAGATGCTCAAGGTGTTGCGATGAAGAATGCTACCCTACATAGGATATGAGAGCAATGCCTGGCCTTCAGTGGGGTTCTGAAAAGGAAGAGGCACCCGTGAGCAAATTGCAAGTACTGGACATTGGAGCAGTCCGAGGAATTTCAGAAGACCAGCCTATGCTTTATAGACTGCAGCAAAGCCTTTGATCGCATGAAGCATGAGAAGCGATAGGTATACCTGCAAGAAATGGGTGTGCCTTGGTGAGAACCAGGCCTAAAATAATTTTATTGATTGATTGATTGATTGATTGCAGTTGTATGCCGCCCCATAGCTGCTCTCCGGGCGGCTCACAGATTCACCTCTACCAGCTTCCCTGACAACCAATATTTCTATCAGGACACTCTGCTGCAAACACCAACAGTCTTTTCCTTCTTTTTACTTGTAGGTAGCACAGAAACCTCATATCAGCTGCACATTTCCCAGGAAGACAATGCTGCCACAGGAAACAGAACACATGGCGCTTTTTCCTTGAACTTAAAACAACCTTTTATTAGCCAAAAGGAAGACGGATGTACTTCCTTTCCTGATAATGAGGCAGAGCAAACACGAGCCGGGATGCATCAGAGACTGATGCTCTAAGTGTGTCGCCGTGGCAACGCACGACCAGCAGGCTGCGCTGTCCTCCCTCGCATGGGAAGTCCTCGAACAAGAACCCTGGTGCTTTAAGCTGCAAAGCTTAATGTAACAGTGACAAATTCTTTTGTTCCTCATTTTGTTATTAATGAAAGCAGAACATTTAACCAGAGAAGGGTTCTTCACCTGCATCCCAAAATAAACTCATCTGGGCAAATACCCCATGGAACAGTCACAACCTAGGATTTGGCTCTGACCCTTCTATGCTTTATGATGTGCAATCACCTTGGATTTTCGGAAAAGCAAGCTTATCTTGAATCTCGCTGCAAATGCACCCAAGGACTAACATTTTGCATCTCTGCTTTTGCTTGCCTGCCCCACAGGGACTTTCCACCTTCATGCATCCACCCTTCGTCCTTCTTCTAAGGAGTTCACACAGTGTACTTGGGAGTACACAGCAGGATGAGTGGGCCTTCTACCTGTTTTCCCTGCTGCAGATTTGCAAGTGCCAGTTCCTGAGAATCCTGTTGAAGTCAGTGAGTCCCAAAGTGAAATCAAAGGTAACTGGATGAAAGCATTACCTGCAGATTACTCAGGATAACTCGAAGCAGGTCAACTTGCCTTCGAACAGCTCCAGAGAACCTTTCATAAGTAGATGCATCGTATTCACTCATCTGGATCTCCTTTAACCTGAAGCAGTGAGGAAAACATCGAACTGAATGGGCAATGGGATTTACTGGCTTCCTCACCTCCCAACAGTTGAAACATAGAAACAGAGCGAGTCAGAAGGGGTCTCACGGGCCATCTAGTCTGACCCCCGGCTCCAGCCGGCTCCGCTCATGACATGCCCACCGTGTGCATGTCCAGCCTATCCTTGAACACCCGCACCGATGGGGCCTCAACAACCTCTCGTGGAAGCCCATTCCACACCCTCGGGGTCCTGACTGTCAGGAAATGCTTCCTGGCATCCAAATGGAACCTTGGCTCCCTGAGCTTTGCTACATCGGAGCACGTTCTGCCTTCCTCTGCAGGGGAGAACAGGTCTCTGCCCACCCCCGTGTGACATCCCCTCACATACTTGAATGTCACCAACAGAACAAGGACATGGGGCCTCACTAAAAAGCCCCAGACCCAGTCACCAAGGGCCTGTTAGATGAAGCAGCGACACACCCACTTAATTTGCAGTCACTTAATTTTATTGTGAGCCACTCAGAGAGGCTTTGGGATGTGGCCGTTCAGTTGAACAGTCATAGTCGCAGCACACGAACCTCTGCTTAAAAGCCTTCTCAGCCATCTCCCTGGCTGCTCGCTTCACCTCTTCGGGTACAGCATCTTTCTCTGCCTGGGACACCTGGTAAACCTCGTGGCCAGCATCCAGGCGGTATGGTCCCCCTTTGCCACCTAATCCAGCGGTGTCTCTCCCACCTAGGAAGGACAATTTGGATCATGGATATACAAGATGGCTTTCTTAGCATATCACATGTTCCGATTTTTTCGTACACACTGGGGGAAATAAATCATATTTGAGAACAGATTATTCCCTCCATTTCCATAAACTTGGATTCTGATTTTCAGAGGGTGAACATTTGTTTCATGGAGTTATTTGTCCTTTAGCTATTTATTTCCATTTCTATGCTTCCCAATAGCCAAAGCTCCCTGAGAGATTCGCAACAATTGATCAAAATACAAAAAGATACAATAAAAATGCCAATACATAAAACACAGTATTCTAATACACAAAAATATAAATCAGTGTAACATCTCAAACATTTTCAGTACAACTAGAGCTATGAAAAAGGCTAACAGAACCTAACGCATCCCATTAAAAGCCTGGCTATGAAGGGCACCTTGGATCTACACCTGAAAAGATGGCGATGCTACTTTGATCCTGAGTTCCTTGGAGGGAAAAGGGCAGGACAGACTGGGGAGACCATTCCACAACTGGGAGGGGGCCACTACTGGCAAGTCCCTCCCTATGCTTCCTCAGAGGAGCTCCCCAGATACAGATGGTACGGTCCAGACAGGCTGGGGCTGGGACAGCGTTCGCATTGTGGTTTCAGTTTATACACTCATCCAGCTCCTCTGGGTGATAATGGGGCACAGGTGCTGTTCTCCTTCCTGTCTCTTGCTTGTGGTTTTAAGGCACAAGACTTGATAGCAGCCAGGCAAGCATTCCGGTGGCGTCTGGTCTGATATAAAGTGCCAAAAAGCCTCTCTATTTCCTGCACACCCATCAGTGCAGACTGCGCTCTGAACAGTTTGATTCGGGATTCCATCGCAATAGTCCACGCAGTCCTGACTTCCAGCAAACAGCTGCCTCCCATTTAGAGACAGGAGAGGAATTTTTGAACCCACATTCCTTCAAGATCTCTTAACTTCTATGGGAAAAGATCTCTTAACACTATGGGTTTTATTTTGTTTTATTATGCTTTACTGTCAAACCATCCCAAGGCCTCAGTAGTGGACGGTATAAAAAAGCTTTAAACAAATAAATAAAAGAACCGTGAGAAAAATCAGTTGATCAGAGAACAGTACGTGGAAGCAATAGGGAGAAGTCAAGTTCAGAGGATATACCCTATATGTTCATTCAAATCTGTTAACAGGACTTAGCTGGACAGGTAGGAGAATTCAACCTCTCCACCCCCGCATGTCAGTGGCATGACCTGCTGGGAACCGCTTTGCCACCAGTCTGACAGATCCATCCGCAGATGCATCTCCTAAGATTACATTGCTGTAAATCCACTTGGAATCAGAAGAACTTGCTTAACATATATTTAAGGAAGTGCGATAGAATCCAGACCCAACGACAGAAATTTATACTTCTGTTTTCACGTTGTCCCCGAAGAAGAATGAGAACAATCAGGGAAGGTGTTTTCACTGGAAGCAAGTGGCTGGAGAGGACCTGTGACACAATCAGCAGAATTTGGAATGCCCTATTATGGGATACCTATTTTGTCTTTCAGGATGCTATGAAAAGGCATCCCAGGATTCATTTGGAGTTGGATGCAGATTCCAGTCAAAGGTGGGTGTGGTACCTGTTCCTCCAGCCCATGTGTTGCCCCCAACATGAGGTACGTTGTCTGGATCGGTCTTCCCATGCTTTGGAGAGCTGACGTCCAAACCACTGTCTCTCTGGATAGTTATCTGTTGAGACAAAAGACAATGGCTCGAGCTGAACTGCATCACGCCCCTTCGTGATGTTTAAGTGTAGGAAGTTTAAGTCTTGGCAGATTGATATTGCTGGAAAAAACAGGGCTCCCAGGAAGAAAGGGTCGATGGTTTATCCAGGGCACCCACCAAAGGGCACCTGTCCTACTGGCCAAAGCATTTCAGGGAAATCCATAATACAAAAGAAAAGAATTAATTTGAATCTTTGCCAAAATACTTGCTATGCACAGAAATTTTCAAGAAGCTAGGCCTCAAAATGACAGCCAGTGGGTCTGGTCATAAAAAGGCTGGGCTGGGACAGGAGATCCGGGCTCAAGTCTCCGCAGCAGCGCTGTTAGCCCTTGTCCTCTGCTCTTCCCAGTAGCTGGTTGGGTGCCTCCCAGCCCGGAAGTCTCATCTTCTGACGTTCTCTTTGAATAGCTCCAACGTAGGGTTTCCAAGGTAAGACAATTCAGAGGTAATGCAGCACAGCTGTCTTCTTCTGGGGAGAACCTACCAGAGTCCCCTCCGCCTGTGTTGCCTTCAAGTACGGCTGCTGCCCAGTGGCTGCCCGTCAGGACTTTCCCCGCCCACATCACCACTAGCGAGATCTGTCCTCTTTTGCTGGTGTGGCCGTTCTTCCTGGTCACACTCTGACCGCTCCACCTCGGGTGACCCTGGCAGGAGACCAGCCTAGCAAGAGAATCTTGGCTCCTGGTGGCATGACTCTTGGCTTCTCGGACACCCTCAAGCCCCCTCACTGCATGGATGCGAGGATGGAACCCCACTAGCATGGAATGGCATAATTCAGGAAAAACACGAATAATGCTGACAAACTGGGACACTTGTCTGGTGTTGCCCCCGTTCTCACTGCTCAATAACCGAGCACCATCCACATACCACACACCAATATTTGGCCAGCAGATGGTGCTGGTGCTTCTCGGCTGATAACGAGAACAGACGGCATGGGCAGAGCAATAAAGGCCGCGAGCTGGGCTGGAACCCGTTTTTCTCGTGACCTCCGAAAGACACTGGATGACTTCAGTAGCAAGTGCACGCCAGCTGCTGCTCAAGGTTTTGTAAACATGAAACATCCTGCAAAATGTGAGTCTGCACACAAGAATTACCCTGCTACAGCAGCTCTGCTTTCTGCTTCCTGGTTCTAGGATTCTCCCATTCTGTAAATCTGTAGCCGTAAATCATGGGCTACGGCTAAGATAAAATCAAAACACAGAGCTTGGAAACTGGCGATGCGGCTGGAAGAACCGCGGCTGCAGCTTGTTCCTGAGAGACGTACCGGCTCTGTTTCAGCCACACGCCATGAGGCCTCAGCAGAGGACCCCCTCGGGCTGCAAGCGCAGCATCCCACTCACCTGCACAGGCCTGCCGTGCTCCTGCCCAATCATGCTTCTCCACTCCTGAAGGGATCTCTGCAGGTTTTCCAGGCAGGTCTCCCACAGCCGGACGCTGCCGCCCAGATCGACAGTGACCACGCCACGCTCGCCCAGGGGAGCCAGCAGCACATCCGTGTCTGAAATCATCGAAAGCCACGACGTATAGGGAGCCAAGTTCCTTGACCTGAAGAACAAAAGATTTGCCGGGGGGCGGGGGGAGAAGTTACTGAGAGTTTCCTACAGAAAACGTAAAATGTGGCTAAGACCTGAAGATGTTTAGAAGAAGATTCACCCCATGACACCTAGGAAGCCTGAGCAACATGCCTCCATCCACCTGGATTATTATCCCCTGAGGGACAGTTTCAACCTAGTTGTGCTACCACACGTGGTGCTTTCCACAAGCACATAAATATTCCCTGTTAAAGCTCCCAGGCTATGAAAGGTTTTTGACTCTTCCCTTTGCGTTCTAACAGGGGTCATAGGATAACTTCCTACAGATCCCTTCCTACAGAACCAGTTCAATAACCATCCACTGGTTTTAATACAACCTGAAGAAGACTGCAAAAGGGGTGCGGGAAGACTATAACATGCGGGACACGCGATAAAACCCTTATTTCCCAGCATCAAAAGATGTGGTATCTCTTCAACGTGGGTTTGCTGTGGATGTTGTTCCGGTTTTATACTCATGGTTTCTCTCCCACCAAACCTTTGCCAGTGGGGGTCAAAGACAGAAAGACAGTGCTCAGAAGCAGGGTGAATTATCAGTCCAATTCGTATGGAAAGAGTGATTCATTTGGATGTTCTGTCCCAAAATGAAATCTCAAGCAAATAGGTCTCAGACCCTTACACACCACACGGCTCCCACTGGCCAGACTAGCTGTTCCGGGTTACACAGCTTTTGTGTGCTCTGAATCTCCACACGCCCCCAGTCTCCCCCACTGTTGCATCAAGGGAATAACTGCATTCAAATAAACCAGATAGGACATGTGTTGCTTTCTTTCCACTGACAGAGAATGGAGGAAAGCTTAGTGACGCATCCTAATGAATCCAGGCTGAGATTTCCCTTCAGTAAGTAATGTCTGAAAAGGCTCAAAGAGAGAAATGAGGCTGTGAAAAATGCAGCCAAAACTTTTTCAGTAGGTAACAGATGAACGCAGCATTTTCAAAACGAATCTCACATCAGGACTAAACTGGCGTCACACGATGTTATTTAGTCCACGGACTTTTGCTTGGTGCTTGTAAATGCTGGAACAATTTAGAAGATGGAATGCAGTTACCTGGGGACAGGAATATACTTAAGTTTCTTTGTTGTAAGGTCTGCAATTTCCAAATATCCAGCTGCTTGGGGCACAGTAACATCTGCAAATGGATATGTTTGCCGTCAACAGTGAAGTAGCTAAATAAACCATGTATCTCACAGAAACATTTTATCAAAGGAAAAACAAGAAAATTGCAGTTAAACATCTGAATTGCTGTTTTAGTGAAAAGCAATTTAAAGTAAGGAAACAAAGGCAAATATTTATACAGTGAAAGCTGAAGCATAAACAGACACAAAGACTGATCAGGCATGATTGCAATTATAGTAAACTGTCATCTCATAATAAACACTAGACGGAAAGCCTATTTAAAGAGTATTCTGACACAGGCTATTTTGGAAAAGCTGAAAGCCGGAGAGGCGCACTGAGCCAAGGGCTCAGCCACCACTGGCTTTGCCTGCCCTCCCCTCAAACCGGCCAACGGGCTGAAGGCACAGCCGATCTCGAAACGCACGGGCACCCCGCGTCGAGCGCTGTGCCACGGCCCCTCCTCCGTGGCACAGGCGTGCGCCTCTGCCTGCACCGGGCAGAGGGCAGCCAGGCTACTTCCAGCACCAGTGGCCACGGACGGCATTCAGGTGCGGCACGATCCCTCTCGAACCTGCACAGAAGACCTGCGCGGCGTCACGTGTGCGCGTGTCGGGCAAGGTGCAAGCGAAGGGGTTCCCCCCCGCACACTCGCTGTCCTCGCTTCCGGCTCTATGCACGCACTCCGTGTGTAAGCCTAGCACCCCTGTGGCACCGTCCAAAGCGCCCCCCCGCCCCCATGGGGGCTGCTTCTCCAAGGCCAGAGGGCAGGGGGAGGACAAGGCCCAGTCCGAGCAGAGCCCCCGCCGCCTTCTCTCAGGGCACCTCATCTGCGCACATGTAGACATCTGTCCCAGTGAAGCGCAGGGTGCAAGGTGGGGGGGCAGAGGTGGCCCCTGCCGCAGCTGGCACTGGGCGCTGGGCCCCGGAAGACCTCCCAGTTGAAGGTTTGGGTGCAGCGAGTGTGAAGGGCCCTGGGCCACTCCCGGCGTGTGCGACCCCTCCCTAGCAAAACGAGAGCGACTGGAGCGCGGCCCTCTGGGGAGAAGGCTCAGCATGTGTGTGGAGCACAGCAGGGGCGTCTCGCGATTCCCCTACTTCTCTACTCAGCTGGTCAAGCTTATCCAGAGCCATTATATAAGCTGCTGTGGACAACTGGCGCTAAGGGACTAATTCTGCTGACCATTAGCAAGTCGTCTATGCGTGAGTGTCTTTGAAACCGTCAGCCTTCAAACTCTTTCCCTTTCAACATCCCAACAGCTGCTGCACGCACACACTTTACCCTTCAGGAGAATAAGGTCAGACTCTGTTTACATGCCCAGGATCCTGTTCCAGGCATTCACGAGCAACACTGCAGAACAGGTTGCCTGTGGGTGAGACCACATTCTGTATGTGCAGATTTCCAAATGCAGTGGTTGTTGCTTTCCAAAGGCCTTTCTGGTGCCTTCCACATAAGGAATCCGAGAGCCGATTCCTCTGCAGGTTCACTTGAAGGGCAAATCCCAACATGTTTAATGGGATTCACTTTCAAATAGCTGCACACAGGACTGCACCCATCTGGGAACCTCACCCCACAAATCTTGGGGGTCTTTGGTTACACGGTATATGAGAAAGTTGTGGCTGGGTTACCTTTGGGATAAATTTCTTTTAGAGGCACATTTCCAGGAGCTAAAACTCTGACCACCTGATTAGCGGCTACAAGAGTCACGCAATTGGTTTGTTTTGCCTCTCTGCTTTTGCTACGCTTCCCATAATAAAGTGGATCAGAAGATGGACTTTGCTTCTTGTCCAGGGCGGAGACTCTCTTCCAGCTATAAACTTCATTAGGGGACTGTAAAATGATGACACGAAGCAGACGTTAGTGAACAGAATGTACATGGTTGTTCCTTCCAATGTGCTAACGATCCTTCACGATAAGAAAAAGAGACCCATTAAACATTCAGGCTGTAAAGGTGGCAGCAGCCGTGAGCTGCTTTATTGAAATTTGGCTTCTTTGCAGTTTGCAGTGACTTCCACCCACTTCCCAGAATTCCTCAGGTATATGCAGATTATTCTCACCACCACCTAGGAGATTCCTAGGCATCTTTTAGTTAAATCCTATTTTACACTAAGAGAACAAACTCTTTGCTGTGTCACCTCTGCATAACGGACTATGCTATTTTGGTTGCCTGCATGGAAAACAAACGGAGCACAACCAGTGCCATTACCAAGAAGTGATCATTCAAGACCTTGAACAATGTTGTGTCTAGATTTCACTGTTCCATCTCATGAGCTTAGCTCTGAGGGCTGATTGGCTGGGAATCACGGCTGAGGTAATTTACAATTATAATTTAAATTAAGCAAAGTGATGCCTACCATGAGGTCTGGAAAACCAACAATAAGAGTAGCATAATTGTTCTCATTGGAGAGCATTCTGTTTGGCGAGCTTATTTTCTGCCCAGTTGCGGCACTTAGATTTTCCGATGACAACGGTTCGCATGAAGCGGCCTGTGGAACATACGGCTCCGAAGCTGTAAACAGTCCCAAACATGCATTTATTTAACCCAGAAAAGCACCCAAACAGTAGGAAAGCTGATTTTGTGATTCGGCAGCAACCAGGCCCCAGAGTTTCCCTTTTTAAAATTTTTAGTCTGGTCATAGGGTTGCATTCTGTTGATTTTATGATGGGCTGAGAAGAAGAGGGAATTATTATCCAGTGACTGGAGACTGGGACAGAGAATTAGTGGAATCACAGTATCCTTCCATATTGTGCTATCAAGAAATGATGTCCTTAGCAGTAATTGGAGCATGAACTTATCTGTCACCCTCAGATATGATGACTTCTTGAAGGCTTGATAGTTGAAACCATAACTGAGCTGGAATTTTGGACAAGATCTCACAGGTCTAAGCCTATCAAATCTGTCCTCTGAACTCACAATAGGAAGCTGTCTCACTCTACTAAGGCCTTTGTCTCTTCTTTCTCCTGATCATGCAGATGGAAGTGACATAAGGTTATGTGGTCACATGGAGACCCCCAGGACATCAGATTCAAATTCCTTACCTGATGTGAGCCCAAATCCTGTCTCTACAGGTTCCTCATCCAGTCCATGTAACTGGCAAGCCCCTTTCTCTTCAGATTCCATATGCATAGGCTTAGCTAAAAGATATTTCCTACAAAACACAGGAATACCCACTGGTTATTTAACAGTGGCAAACTGCATTCATTTTATCGGCATCTCAGCTTTCCCTTCTAAAGCAGCTGATACACAAACACAGCATTCTAAAATATTACAGAGAAGTATTGACATGTAAATATACTTCAGATGGTGCAAAATAGGGCTGCCAGGCTGCTGACGGAGACTGGGCGTTATTCTCATATAACCCCAGTCCTCTATTAGCTCCACTGGCTTCCCATCGAAGTCCGGGCTCAACTCAAGGTGCTGGTTATTACCTATAAAGCCTTTAACGGCTTGGGACCTGGATACCTGAAGGAATGCCTGCATCCATATCTGCCCTCCCGCCCCTTGAGATCGGCGGCAGAGGCCCTTCTCTGGGAGCCCTCCATGAAGGATATCAGGAGGGTGAGTACCCGGAGGAGGGCCTTCTCTGCGGTGGCACCCCATCTGTGGAATGCGCTCCCCAGAGAGGTCCGCCTGGCGCCATCGTTATTTGGTTTTCGGCGCCAGGCCAAGACCTTTTTATTTAAATGATATTTTAATAATTGTTGATTTTATTTATTGGTTTTAAAATAATGAGCCAGGATGTTTCCAGATTTTATATGTATGTATTTGTATATGTTTGTATTTATAATGTTGGAAGCCGTCCCGAGGCTTATGCGAATGGGACAGCATACAAAAATTCCAAATAAATAAATAAACAAATATTTAGGCATAGGAGAAGCCAAATTTATCTAAGTTTAGAAGAAAGCTTAGTTATTAATATGTTTATCCTACCGGTTTGTTTTGCTCTCCACAAGGAGCCAGTGGTCTTCGGCCACTAAAAAAACAGACTTGAGGTTGATGGGCAAGGAGATGGTGTGAGACTGACCCTCCAGGACATTGAGAACCATGAGCTGGTTCCTGCAGAATAAAGTTGTAGGAATTAGGCTGGTGATAATCACAAGAAAGGAGCAATTTCTTTCACAGGAGGAGGAAGGAGTTATTAGTTCTCACCCTTCCTCTCTGTAGAACACCAGCCAGTTTTTGTGTGAAAACTCTTGGCACATTTTGTGACTTTTCTAAAGAACAAGCAAACACATGAATCACAAAAGCATCCATTTCAAACCATTGCAAAATGGTCACCCTAATGCCCATTTCTCCTTCATGGATCACTGCCTTGTCGTGGCGAAGGGGCTTGTGTAACGCAATGAAGCTATGAGCTATGCCCTGCAGGGCCGCCCAAGACAGACAGGTCATAGCAGAGAGCTCTGACAAAACATGATCCACTGAAGAAGGAAATGGCAACCCACTCCTGTATCTTTGCCATGAAAACCCCATGGACAGTGCCAAAAGGCAAAGAGATATGACGCCGGAAGATGAGCCCCTCAGGTCGGAAGGTGTCCAATGCGCTACTGGGGAAGAGCAGAGGGCTAGTACTAGTAGTGCCAGAAAGAATGAAGTGACTGGGTCAAAGCCGAAAGGACACTCAGTTGCGGATGTATCTGGTGGTGAAAGAAGAGTCCGATGCTGTAAAGATCTATACTCCATAGGAACCTGGAATGTAAAATCAAGGCAAGCTGGACGTGGTCAAACAAGAGATGACAAGACTGAACATCAACATCTTAGGAATCAGTGAACTAAAATGGACAGGAATGGGGGAATTTAATTCAGATGACGATCAGGTATACTACTGCGGGCAAGAATCCCTCAGAAGAAATGGAGTAACCTTCATAGTCAATAACAGAGTAGGAAAAGCAAAACTGGGATACAATCTCCAAAATGACAGAATGATCTCAGTTTGAATCCAAGGCAAACTATTCAACATCACAATAGTCCAAGTCTATGCCCCAACCGCTGGTGCTGATGAGACTGAAGTTGACCGGTTCTATGAAGGCCTACAACACCTTCTAGAATTAACACCAAAAAACGATGTCCTTATCATCATGGGAGATTGGAATGCAAAAGTAGGAAGCCAAAAGATAATTGGAATAACAGGCTAGTTTGGCCTCGGAGTACAAAATGAAGCAGGGCACAGGCTGGTAGAATTTTGTCAAGAGAATACGATGGTCATAGCAAACATACTTTTCCAACAACCCAAGAGACAACTCTACACATGGGCATCACAGAAATCAGATTGACTATGTGCTCTGCAGCCAAAGATGGAGAAGCTCTATACAGTCAGTAAAAACTAGACCAGGAGCTGACTGTGGCTCAGATCATGAGCTTCTCGTTGCAACATTTAGGCTTAAATTGAAGAAAGTAGGGAAAATCACTGGGCCACTCAGGTATGACCTAATTCATATCCCTGATAAATATACAGTAGAGGTGACAAATAGATTTAAGGAATTAGATCTGATAGACAGAGTGCCTGAAGAACTATGGACGGAGATTCGCAACACTGTACAAGTGGTAGCAACTAAAACCATCCCAAAGAAAAAGAAATGCAAGAAAGCAAAATGGCTGTCTGAGGAAGCTTGACAAATAGCTGAAGAAAGAAGGGAAGCGAAAGGCAAGGGAGAAAGGGAAACATACACCCAACTGAATGCAGAATTCCAGAGACTAGCTAGAAGAGATAAGAATGCTTCCTTAAATGAACAGTGCAAAGAAATAGAAGAAAACAATAGAATAGGGAGGACCAGAGATCTCTTCAAGAAAATTGGAGATAATGAAGGGACCGTTTCATGCAAAGATGGGCATGATAAAGGACCAAAATGGCAGGGACCTAACAGAGGCAGAAGAGATTAAGAAGAGGTGGCAAGATTACACAGAGGAACTATACAAGAAAGAGTTTAACATCCCTGATAACCACGATGGGGTGGTCACTGACCTCGAGCCAGACATTCCGGAATGTGAAGTCAAATGGGCCTTAGGAAGTCTGAGCAACAACAAAGCTAGTGGAGGTGACAGTATTCCAGCTGAGCTATTCAAATCTTAAAAGATGATGCAGTAAAAGTGCTACACTCAATATGCCAGCAAATTTGGAAAACTCAACAGTGGCCACAGGATTGGAAAAGGTCAGTTTACATTCTGATCCCAAAGAAGGGCAATGCCAAAGAATGTTCAAACTACCGCACTATTGCACTCATCTCACATGCTAGCAAAGTTATGCTCAAAATCCTACAAGCTAGGCTCCAGCAGTATGTAGACCAAGAACTACCAGAAGTACAGGCAGGATTTCGAAGAGGGAGAGGAACTAGAGATCAAATTGCCAACATGCTGGATCATGGAGAAAGCTGGGGAGTTTCAGAAAAACATCTACTTCTGCTTCATTGACTATGCTAAAGCCTTTGATTGTGTGGATCACAACAAATTGTGGCAAGTTCTTAAAGAGATGGGAGTACCAGACCATCTTATTTGTCTCTTGAGAAACCTGTATGCGGGTCAAGAAGCAACAGTGCGAACTGGACACGGAACCACTGATTGGTTCAAAATTTAGAAAGGAGTTTGGCAAGGTCGTATACTGTCATCCTGCCTATTTAACTTAAATGCAGAGCACATCATGAGAAAGGTGGGCCTAGATGAATCACCAGTTGGAATTAAAGACTGCTGGGAGAAATATCAACAAGCTCAGATATGCAGATGATACCACTCTCATGGCAGAAAGTGAAGAGGAACTAAAGAGCCTCTTGTTGCAGGTGAAAGAGGAGAGCGCAAAAGTTGGCTTGAAACTCAACATTAAGAAAACTAAGATCATGGCATCCGGTCCTCTCACTTCCTGGCAAATAGATGGGGAAGAAATGGAGGTAGTGACAGATTTTATTTTCCTGGGCTCCAAGATCACCACAGACGGGGACTGCAGCCAAGAAAATAAAAGATGCTTACTCCTGGGGAGGAAAGCTATGGCAAATCTAGACAGCATACTAAAAAGCAGAGACATCACCCTGCCAACAAAAGTGTGTATAGTCAAGGCTATGGTTTTCCCAGTTGCAATGTATGGCTGTGAAAGCTGGACCATAAGGAAGGCTGAGGGCCAAAAGGATTGAGGCCTTTGAATGGTGGTGCTGGAGGAGACTCCAGCGAGTCCCTTGGACCGCAAGGTGATCAAACCGGTCAGTCCTAGAGGAGATCAACCCTGACTGCTCTTTAGAAGGCCGGATACTGAAGATGAAACTCAACTACTTTGGCCACCTAATGAGAAGGAAGGACTCCCTGGAGAAGAGCCTAATGCTTGGAACAATAGATGGCAAAAGAAGGAGGGGACGGCAGAGGATGAGGTGGCTGGATGGGGTCACTGAAGCAGTCGGTGTGAGCTTAGGTGGACTCTGGGGATGGTGGAGGACAGGAAGGCCTGGAGGAATGTTGTCCATGGGGTCGCGATGGGTCGGACACGACTTTGTGACTAACAACAACAATAACAATGCCCAGTTTAAGAGTCTTCCCTGCAACCTACTCTCTGTCCCTCAGTTTCTAGAAAGAAAGATGAGTAAAGAAATCATTGGTGTTTTATGCAAACTCCACAGAGAACACGCTTGGGGGGAACCTCAGAATGCTGCATTGCCAGGAGCAACACACGAGTTCCTTTCCAACTGGCTGTAGCTCTTTTTAGCTAGTTGCCACACATTAACAAAAGCTTTCCGGTTCTCTTGACTCCTAAGGAAAATTACCTCCCTTGTTCTACTCCATTTTCCGCTGAATCGATGCAGCGTTTAAGATGCGCTCCAGCAGGGTGCAGTACACACCAAAGGACTGCCTGAACCTAATCACTTTTCAACCTCAACAGGAACAGGGACGCAAACAAAACTGCAAAATGGTACTCTGGATGTCCAAGGTCATGGTCTGCTGCACATCCTGTGGTGCCTTAAAAGACTAACTTGTATAGGGCATGAGCTTTCGGATGGAAGACCCTATTTAAATTTGCTGCCACTCAAGGCTAGGATAGAAACCACCATAGCTGGGCTCCGTGGAGACAAAGGTGCCTCAATTTTCACAAAGCATCGCTGGGACACAGATCTGCCTCACCGCCTCTTCCTTGTTGCCCCACCAGGCCGTCCTTTTAGGGTAGTTCTGCACATCTTCGGACAGTGAAAATCGGCGTAAGGCTCCAGTGTTCGTGTCAAGCAGTAAAACAACATTGCTCTGCGACAAAAGTGGGGTGGAGCAGGGGAGAAAAAGAAAAGGAAGGAAGGAAGGAGGGAGGGAGGGAGAGAGAGAGAGAATGGTATATGCAGTCTACACCTTCCATGGCTTTAATACGACACACTATGTAAGGCTACAAGAATTTTTCCAAAGGTCCTGCAACACCGTGTTGTCCCTTGTTCGGCCCCCATTGATGGGTTTCAAGCCCTGATGTGGAAGAGAACTAAGCATCTGACGTCTTGTGCGAAACTGGCTCTGTTGTCCTACCAGAACCAGAATCCACGTGGCACCGATGGGACAGCCGGCAGCAAAGAAATGGCTGGAAATTCATTCTAAGGCTCGCCACTTACTTAGTTACTGTATTAAAATGTTGCCAAAAGATTCTGCTCCTGCTGAAGGCTGTCCTGTGTGAAACCTCAAGGGCAGGTGGTCTTGGACAATGCACCACCAACGGGATTGAAGTTGGGCATGTCTGTTCCTCCAAACAAGCAATTCCCCGAACATAGAAAGCTAGATCTCAAGGGGGAAAGTGCTAGATGAGCCCCGTACTATATTTACGAGTGCCTTAAAAGCCGCATGAGCGATCCAGATCTCTGTTCAGACATTCACTGCAGCTATTCTGAGTAAACAGACATCTCTTTTTTAATGAGATCTATTCTGGCTTCAGTGCAGTAAGATATTAGTAAGCCTTACAATTTCAGTTTGGAGTCGACTCTATTCATGTGGGATAAAGCACTGGCAAGTGCTCACATGCCGCAGTCCGTATTTATGCAGAAGTATTTCAAGGAAAAGATAAATGCAAAGAATTCAAGAGGGAAAATGTTGTTCTGATCTTTTCCTTGATGCCTCTATAGGCATATTCATGTAAGAGAAGCAAAGCAAGCGCTAGGATTTCCCAATCATCCTGAATGTATAAAAGGCAGTTGTGTTCTTTTCTCCACCGCTTCAGATGTTAATGGTTCCCATCTGCACTCGGCAACCGGTGCTACACAGGCGTGCGCGTAAAAATAGAATTTTGCGTCACTGGTAAATACTTCCAGTTACAGCTCTGGCAACGCTTCAAGCGGGCTGGGAAGAAAAGCCGTGTTCTTGTGCAGCTTCTCTTGTGTTTATTTTTTACTGGGAGAAAAGAAACCTTTGGGTGACCTCATGTCCCCAGTGCCTTGAATTCCAAATGCTCAACAGATGCAACAAGCATTATTCTGAGGTGCCGCTCCTTTATTTTTAGCTACCGCACAGTTTCCCTCTCCTTGCTGCAGCTTGTCTCCTAGCCCGGGGGCTTTCCTCCCTTGGAAGAACTTGGTGCAGATATGGGTGTAACTGCACTTCAGGGATGGGGAAGCTGATATCAGTGCTCTTCTGGATGGGAGCACGTATGAAATGCAAAAAGGAAGAAAGAAGGGCAGAGGAAACTAAACGTTTATACAAGACTCACTTCCTTTCTGCTTTGCTATCATCCTTGCCAACAGTAACGATTCCCTCCAAAGCTACACCCACTCCTCTGCTTCCAAGCCCAATCCTCCACGAACAAAACGGCATCCAAACACTTTCATATTGCAAGTGGGTAGCTGTATGGAAATTTGATTTAATTTGCCCTGAGATAGGAGTATAAGCACATCACTCGGTTTTGAAATGCTTCATGAGAAGTGCTTGTCTCCCCTGCCCAGGAGGAAGTATGTTCAATTAGAAGGGCAAATGGGAACAAGGATTTAGGCTGGCTCTCCAGATAATGGTGATAATTATTGATATACTGCTTTCAACCAGCAAAGTCATTCTTCACGGCTGTTTACTCCATCAACTCTCATTAAAGGCAGGTTCTTTCAATGCACTAGTTCTGGAAAACTGGGAATACAATTTTTCCTAGAAGAGATCAGACAGAGTCAGAAACAGGAAGCATACAGAGATGCTTTTCCAATATTTTGGAAAACTTGGTGAGGGAGCTAAGGCAACTAGACTGGAGACAGGGGGTTAGAGGGACACTGGCCAACTGCTGTAATGAGGCACAATATTTGCTCTGCATCTAAACGGTTTCGCCCATGGAAGAGGCACTGCCATAAACCAGGAAGAAATATATCCTCGATATCCTGCCTTAGGCTACCAACTAATCTGAACTGGGTGAAAATTATTTGTGATCCCAAATGAGTTGGAACGTGAGCACAAAAACAAAGAGACATGCTACAACCCACATAATTTTCATGTGCAACAATGTTATTTTGGAAGCAGGTGAATCCATATCAATTTTACAAGGTCTAGAATTGGGAGTCCAGAAGCTGCTTATGTAAAAATCACCCACCCTTTGCATTCTACAATATAATACAAGTCAGAAATATTACTTTGCAACCGTTAGCAGAACTGCTCCTGACCTAATAGCACTTCTCCACAAATAAGGCGCACTGCTATTTTGAGGAAATATTCCTGCATTTGCATTCTTAGGGATGAAAAATGGAATGTTGTGGATTTCACATCCCAGTGACAAAGTATGAATCAGGCACGGGAAGGACGGTTTGTACCTGCTCCTCATGCAGAATCACTTGACCCTTGAGTGGTGAACCGAGAGGCGCCAGTGTCACGAAAGGCTGCCATGCACCACCAATACTTCTTGGGAAGATATCGTACAAGTCCACGTAATATCCAGTTTTACTAGTTATATCCATACAATATAAAGACACAGGATTGCATGTAGCTACATAAAGGGTGTTCTCAGCGTCATTCTCTGTAAATGGGGAGATAAGATGTCAATGCATGATTTCATGTACAAGAATGCAATGAAGCGCTTATGTGCATTCTCAGATACAGTATGTATGCAGATGGTACCTGGAAGTCAGAGTGAAAAAGCACCTGCAGCTACAGCAATGCACTGAAGTTTTTTCTCAACTTCCTGATTTTCTCAAATGTGTTTGAAGTATGCTCATAGGAAGTGAACATAGGCCTCTCTGAAAGATGGTTTTTCTGTTGCACAGGCAGAAATAAAAGGGGGTGGCCACACAGTCCGCAGAGAAATAATGTGGATGTTAACACCCCATAACAATATGGAGTTGGAAAGTCCTACTAAGTTCAGGAGGCCCTACACCAATGTAAGTGTGTAGCACTGCATTCTAAATCAACAAAATCCAGGACAAAATATGCAGAAGATGTTCTTTGGGGAAAGTGCTAAAGCATTTGAGTTTGCTTGCCACTTTAAAATGTAAAATTATGATCAAAAATAAAAATGTAAACATGTAAAATTCTGTTCAAAAATGTCTGTTTGATTATTCATGCACTTTCTCATTGCCAGCAATTTCCCAGAAATTTTTTTAAAGAATGGTTTTACCTCGTGTCACGGCAATATCACACACCAAATTAACATCATCCAAAGGCAGTGACCAGAATGCTAGTTCTTCTGTAAAACTCAGAGACCGGGCATTGTGCCTCTCCAGGGGAAATGCCTGCACATTTAAATACATCGGTCCCTATAAGAAAAGGACAAGAAAAGCCACGTCGGTCAACATTCTTCACAGGTAATGCCATTCAGGCTTGACACCGCAAACTATAGGAGGCAAGCCAAAAAGTGTGGCGTCCTACTGATCCAAGGAGCCACGTAGCTCTCCCTTAAGGGCTTGGGGGCTCAGGCACTGATCGGGGATAATGGTGCTGACTGCTACGACCACCTGGAATACTGTCCATGCGCACGTACAAGCGGGTGCAGAGCGGCAAAATTATAGTTCTGAGTGTGCAGAGAGTAAGCGAGGAGAGCAGGAAGCACCCCTGGAACAGCCAATATTCCGGGGAGCGGACGCACTTTGTTTCTCTCTCTCTAATGCCTGCTCAAGCTGCACCCTTTGCTAATAAGCGGAGGATGACCTAAGCGCACTAGGGCTCCAATCCGATGTGCATTTCCTGGGAGCAAGACTAACTGTACTCGGTGAGACTTACTTCTGACGGACATGCACAAGCTCACACAATTCACCTCGCACATAAGCCACCTTGAGCCGCACGCTGCTCGAGGAAAGAAGAAATGCATCTGGTATCGTGGAATGGGAATTTTTTAAAAAGCAGTGCAAGATGACACTGACTCTGAAGCAGATGCAACAGGGCATTTTTTTAAAGCAGTGCAGTGTGAAGCTAACTCAGATGACGAACTGGAAGGCTGTGAGCCAGTCGGCCGGCAGGTGTGAGGACGGTTATGGCTACGTGCTCAATGTCTGTTTGGATGCGTAGGGCTTGACAGGAATTCTGTAACCTCAAATCTACAAATCCAGTCCGAAAATCTCCAGATTAACAGATCCTTAGTTATTTGTGAGGAAAAGAAATTTCTGAACGCTTTCCCACAGAGCCAGCTCTATGCATTCTGCCACTCAGGGCGAAATGCCTTTGGTTTCTTCCAGAGAGGCAGTTCAGGGAGTGAAGGGAGGGGGAAGAAGCTGCGGTGCCTCATTTTTCACCCCTGGAAATGGCCCACCGGCTGCCTAATTAACACAATTACTCTCGCCAGGGGCAGGCTGCAGTGCTCTGGACGACTGCGCCAACAGCTGGTGCGACGGTTCCAGGCAAGGCTTGTGCCGTACAGTGCCTTGCCTCGCCTTGCCTCATCGTGGAATTTTGGCAGGGAGCAGGCGGTGTCCGGATGCCGCCGTCTGCAGCTTGCAGCCCTGCTGTGTTCCCTTCTTGCTTCTTCCTGCCATTGAAAGGCAGTAAGGAAGAGAAGATAGAATACTTGGTGGGGTGGGGTAGATTTCTCCCATTCCATTCGATCTGGGCTGAGTTTTGCACCAGGCCTATTTTTTAATCATTCACAGGAATTTATATGCTAAATTCCATAACTGGCGCATGCACAGTTTGATCTCACTGTTGTTTTCCATTCTTTATACTTGTTTGTGCCATCAGGTGTTCTTTTTCCTTCTTGTCTTCTGGAAACCTTCCTCTTATATGATCAGGCCTTGCGGGCTTGATTCAGAAAGCTACATATGGCTAATATTTTAAAAATACCGTAGTGTGTTAAACATTGGCCAATAAGGTCACGCTAAACTTTTAGAAAACCTCACCAACCTTTACATCTATGCGGCGAGTATCAGCTGGACACAAAAGTTTCCGCCCATCGTTACCCAAATGATTGACTTTCCAGTAGCCCATAAATTTTGGATCTGGCAATATCAACCTGCCCAGAAAAAATATCATGATTATTAATTTGCGATTTTAAAGTCATATACCAGCAAGCCATTTCTCTGGGATGACCACACTTGCTGATACACTTTTAACTTGCTATACTCCAAGCAGATCTAAAGTCCCACCAAAAGGAGGAATTCAACCTACAATGTTTAGTTCCAGTGGTATAAAGGTCTTGAAAACCTAAATGATCTATTTCTACAGAATAAACTGAAATGGTGCCAATCCACCAACACTTTTTAGATAAGAAATTGGGACAGGTTTGAATGCAGCTGCACCTCAAGGAACAAAAGTGTGTGGTGGACGAAGGTCGAGTGGGTTGCACTCAATGGCCTTCATGGCTCCTTCCAACTCCACTATTCTATGATTCTGCTATTCTGTGAGGCGATTGTGAACACTTGCCGAAGCAAAGGGGGTGGCATACAGATGTAATAAATACATAAACAAACAAACAACCCCATGTTCTTAGCAAATGCTATCAGGAAGGTGACAACCTGGACAGAAGGTGCTTGGGACATGCCTTGCAATTATGCATGAAATACGGGGAACAGCCGTGCACAGTGCCAGCTTTCTTCATGGCGCCTTCATCAGGAAGGGGACACATCTCTTGAAGAATTAGAGGATCCAGCTCAACTTCTAAATGCAAGATTAGTTATCACCTACAAAGCCCTTAACGGCTTGGTACCTGGATACTCGAAGGAACACCTGCTTCCATATTTGCCCTCCTGCCCCTTGAGATCGGCAGCAGAGGCCCTCCTCCGGGAGCCCTCCCTGAAAGACATCAGGAGGCAAAGTACCTGGAGGAGGGCCTTCTCTGCGGTGGCACCCCATCTGTGGAATGCACTCCCCAGAGAGGCCTGCCTGATGCCATCGTTATTTGTTTTTCGGCGCCAGGCTAAGACCTTTTAATTTAAACAATATTTTAACAATGTTTAATATTATCTATTGGTTTTAATTTCCAGCCAGAATGAATTGGGGTTTTTAATTTGTGTAATTTATATTTTTTGTATTTGTATTGGGCACTATGTTGTCTATTTATCTTAATTTATGTAAGCCGTCCCGAGGCAGCAAGCGATAGGACGGCATATAAAAACTCCAAATAAAATAAAATAATAAAAATAACAAAACATTTCTAGAAAAGCACAGGCAGCAAGGCAGAGCTCTAGAGCAGCTTCAGTCAGCGATCACGCTTGCTGCCAAGAACAAAGGGCTCGAGCAGAATGCACCACACCGTTTACGAGAAAATGGCTCCTCCATTTGCTAAGTACATTCAATTATTTCTTATTAGTGTCTTTATTTATTATTTATAGCACTTCTATACTGCCTGCAGCTGGAGCTCCTTTTCTGAAGAAAGAAACCAAAGTACTTCCTCATAGAGTATTTAGTGCATCCCGACTGAGAAGAGACGAAGAGAAGCTTGGTGGATTTTTAGGTAACAGAAGAATTTACTATTGTTGTTAAAGTAATATCCCAAACTGAAATTCCAGGAATTGTTGCAGATATAATTAAATCTTTCCTCCTTTTCTTTCAGATTAATACCCTAGAACACGCCTATTGGGTGGAATATTTGGGATGCCTAAGCATCCAGAACACCTCTATGCTTCTGAAGAGTCAGATGCAGAACAAAGGTTGCTTGTCTCCCAGAAAACAAAAAGAGATTTTAATTCACATTTCACCCTCCATTGTCATCTTCTCATTGAACAATTCCACATCTCAGACAGCAAACACTGAGGAATTCTAAGATCAACTTCTATATTGAGGAGAGAAGAGCTTTCTGCATGAGAACCCAATTCAATATGGCTTTAGTTACCAGACTTCCATGAGTTCTGACAGAAGGTTGGCATTCAAGTTTTAAATAGGTTTTTGGAAATTTTTACTGACCAATATTTTCTAACTAATGGATGCCTCTATGTTTTAACGCTAGCATTTTACAGAGAAGCATTATTCTTTACCAAATTGCACATATACTTTGGGAAGCTACCCTGAGATTTTTTTTTCTTTAAAGTCTTGTGTGACACAGAAATAAGCAACTGATAGTACCAAGCATTCCCCCGAAGTTGAGTTTAGCAGGCATTAAATTCCTCAGCCTTCAAAATGAGCTGTAAAGGTGTAGCTGTTAGACTCAACAATCTGAAAACGTTTCTAGAAGTTGCACGGCGAAATTATGGGGAAGATTTACCAACTGACATTTAACTGAGCAATTTGGCTCCAGGAAAGGACTGAGCCCCTCCCTCCACCTCAGCAAACCTAAACAAAGAGGGAACTTGGTAATAATTTGTCTGACAATGTTGTTGTGCAGAATAAAGGGAAATACTTGTTTCATTAGAAACAATTTTTGAAATTGGTCTAGTGACTAGACTTCAAATATGTGATCTTGTAAAATGTAAAGTTTTATTTGAAAGCCCTTCCTTCAGAATGAAATGCTTATATCTATTGAATAACTGGCTAACATCATTGGAAAGTTAGCTGAATTGTGAACCAAACTGGATGACAATTGTTTGCTGTGTTGTGGTCTTGCAACGTAGTTTCCTTTGAGAGATAATTTGTCCTTAATAAGGATGTCACAATAAGTATGGAGAAAACTACTCAACTGATGAATTTACCATTTTTGGTTAGTATTTCCAAACCCTGCACAGAATTGGTGACAGCTAAGACCAGCTCATTCCACTCCACTTGTTGAAAAAAGTTTGTTTTTGTTGTTCAGTATGGTGAAAAATAGAAGAAAGGTAAATTCAATGAATAGAAACGGAAAAAGAAACAAATATTTCCCTTTATTTGATTAGATCTGATCATACAAATCACTGATATTCATATGTTCACACTTTATACATGTCAATGTATGCTGTAATTGTACATTAATGATGCTATATAAATAAATATTATAATCATTTACTGTGACCTAGTTTTAGGGGTGAACTAAAAAGATTTGTTTCAAGCTTTCCAGGTTGATCATAACTAGCAGCAGGAAAGACGAATGTTAGCCTTACTCCTTAGCCAGCTGTATATTGGTAGGTTTTGCTCCAATTGGGATGCCGTGCTTATGCAAAGTTCTAACTACAATTTCACGCATTTCACTGTTGTAGGAGTCAAAATCGAAGACATTCTGAACAACATTCGCAAGTCCTTCAGATGGAAACCTCTGCAAAGAGAAAGAGAAAATGGTACAAGAAACCTTCCAAGTTCTGTACATGCGAGCATCCAAGGCATGGATCGGAATTATGTTGCCCACCCGGCAAAGAGAAGCAGACAGAAGCATTCCAAGACTTTACAAGCATCTCCATTTGCAAGAATCTTGGGGCAAGAATCTTCTCTCTGCACACAAATACGTAGGTATAGCCACAGAAGACATGATTCCCAGTTTCCCAAACTCTGTTGCTGCGCTGGTGTGTGTAGCTACACAGCTGTTCCTCAACATCTTGACCTGAAGCAAACAGCTACAATTTGACAGTAACTGCAGAGAAAGGATTCATCCAGCGACCAGTTAGAACTCATATATAAATAAATCATGCTGAGAATATGCATCTCTTGCTACAAGTATAAACACCTTTCAACCAAAACAATTACTTCCATACTTAAGAAAACTAAGCCTACGGCAGAGACGCTTGCAGTGTTGGATAACTACGCAAACAGAATTGTGTATGACTAATTTCCTGCCTTCCTTCATTCCCAAGATGTAAGATTGTATCATTTCCCTCCTCCCTTTCATTCCGACCCACCCCCTACCTGCTAGAACTAAGGGCTCTCAGTCCAAAACAATCCCACTTTTTTGCTTGTGCCGCTGGTAACAAAGCAAACAAACCCTTCAGTCTTCTGCTCTTCCGGCCCTTCTCCACTCAACTCTTCTTAGAAGTGGGGATTAAATAGCCATGGCTTGTCATTATGTGCAAACACAGGCAATATCTGAAGGAGAGCCTACAAGGAAGGTTCAGTACAACCTAGGAAACTGTGAATCATCAATTGGCCATTTTCAAACATTGGAAGGAGTTCACTTTCTGATTTAATGCCATGTTAGTGTGCCCTTCACCAGAACTGAGTCAGTTAATATATCACGCAAGCTGAAGATAAAATAGCCTGGTCTCCACCTTTGAAGAGGAGGATTCTTTCCTTTGGAGAGTCGTGAAGGAGAAATCTCTGTCCAAGTTTACAAAAATTAAAAGCTTATTTACAGATTTGTATTCTGGTACCGTGTCCCTTGGGAATACTGGTTCAGTGGCTGCATTAAAAACTTCTCTTCTCTATGCACTGAAGCTGAACATGATCAATACGAAAAGCCCTGCATACGTGTGTAACTCAATTGAGAAGAATTGCACCAGACTTTGCTTTTCCCCAGGTTTTGCTCACGAAAACTGACCTTTGCTTACTACTCCGAGTTGCAAAACTAAAGAATAGTAAATTTTCTTTTGAACAACACTCCCATGAAATTAATTAACTAAAAGCTCGGGCACTGCACCGGAGGGAAGGAGGAGACAGAGGGCCTCACAGCACAGGGTGGGACGACTGGGCGCCTTTCAAATATTTTGGTCTGCAGTTCCTACCATCCCTCTCCATTGTTTATGTTGGTGAAGGACAATAGAGTTTTAGGTTACAACATCTGGAAGGCTGCAAGTTGCCCATCCCCTTCTCATGGGGATTCACAAGTGATGTGCCCACAAAGGGAAGAATCGTGTCCTTCCTACGCACAGAGGGAGAAAGAATCTGGCCACCCGATTCAGAGAAAGTTAGTCCCAAGGATTTCAAAAGGCCCAGTAACATTCTGAGCAGGTAATATTAAAATTACACATAGGTATACTCCGCGACTATTCAATGCTCTTCAACTATTTAAAAAAAGTTTCTGAAGTCAAATATCATTATTTATCAGCTTGAATACTGCAACTATATCTGTGAATGAAGCAATTCTGGTCCTATACCTGTAAATGCTTTACTAGATTCACCACTTCTCTAGTTGAATAGGGATAATTGATAATTCCTTCATCGGCCAAGCTTCTGAGCTCTCCAAAAGCAGCAACCAGCTTCTGAAGGACGGGCTCTGGCACCTCAGGCCCATACCACCGAAGCATTGCAAGCTCCGAGTCCGGTTTAGGATTATCAACTGCATGGCAGCTAAAAATATCTCCTAAAATAAACAAGGCAAGAAGAGAGAGGGAGAGGTAACGACAGCGGTATATAATGCCGCGATTGTTGTTTGCCCAGAGTCTTGCAATGGAAACTTTAAAAACATAGGACTGTCTCAATGCCAGGTTGAGACACCCTGAGCTCGCTGCATTCCAACTGAAACCTGTCCCGTTCCTCCACTGGAAGCACAAACCACCAATGCTGAGCTTTTCAGCATGTTCCCTTGGAGTGCACAAAGGTTCCTTTCCTCCACGCAGTTCCCTGGACGCCTGCCACCCACCCTCGGGTAAAACATTGTGAAGACTCTTAACACCCACAGAAGTCATCTAGATGTTCCACACCACCATATGGCATAGTGCCAAGCCCAGGACTGCAACAGCTGCATGAGATTCACAGGTAAAGGATGCTAAGCAGACTCCTTTATGTCTTCTCCATGCTCCATTTTTATTCCATGCACTGCTTACCCAGAGTTCCAAAGAAGTCATTGCCCAAGAAAGGAAATCCAGGTCTGTTTGCTAGTACTATCATCCTAAAATCTGGATGAATTACTATCACATTTTCTCTGCCATTCACACAAGCAGAATCTGGAAAATATGTAGACTTGAATTAATATTTTCAATTGTATGAGGGACGGTTTCATTTAAAAAAAACTACTTTCCCATCTGAAGATGATCAATCACAGTTTGGGGGTCAGTTCCACTCTCTAAACAAAGGAATAAATGGACATTCTCTTCATGAAATTCTTCAGATCATGGGATCATGGAATACTTAAGTTGGAGGGGGCCAGAAGGCCAGTGGGTCCAACCTCGTGCCCAGGGCAGGTCTCCAAGCTAAACCATCCCTCTCAGATGGCCCTCCAGTCGCACCTTGGATGCCTCCAGTGTGGGAGAGCCCACCACCACCCCAGGTCATGGATGCCATTGTCCTACCAGAAGTTCTTCCTGACATTCAGGTGGAACCTGGCCTCCTGGAACTTGAGCCCGTTGTTCCCTGTCTTACACTCTGGGATGATCATGAAGAGATCCTGGCCCTCCTCGCTATGACAGCCCTTCGAGTCCTGGAGAGAGGAGCTGAATCCTCCCACACCATGATGACGCGCCAGTCCCCAGCCTTCACATCTACCCTGGTTCTGAACCAGGCACTCCGGTGGACAGAGCTGGGAGAGACTAACTCGCCCCCATTCGCCCACCAGGTCTTGGATATACATGCCAGGCAGAACTGTGGGCATGCGAGGGCTTACTTCTGCACTGATCCGGCTTTTCAAAGCAGACCTGACAACCTAGCAGGGCAACCACAAAACTGGTGAGCACGCATGGGACAGAAACCTGGCCCAGCCATTAGCCATCCGGAACATGTTCTGGCCAGGCTGCCTCTAGCACCATGTCTCCCTCTGCCCATCACTACCGACTGGGTCCCTCAGGTATCCACATCTGACCCATAGCCCCCCTCTCCAGCACAGTCCCAGGGATATCTCACATGGGCCAGTGCAGCCAAGGGAGGGAAAACGGAAGAGGCACCCTGGCCCTCATGGTGTCCCAAGGGAGAAAGCCAACGGGGCATGTCCCTTCCGGGCCACCGTGGCCCCAGTCCTATGCCCCAGGGAGCTGCTGGACGGCCAAGCCCAGCCTGCTCCACTCGACACTCATGATGACGACGATTCTGCAGAGAAGGATACTGCAGTCTGCGTGCCTGCTGAAATATTCATAGCAATAATGTAATTAATCTGCAATAAACGTTAACTGCCGGAACACTGTGCCCCAGGGACTACTTACTGGCGACCAGGCGCCTTCCATCAGAGAGAATCATTTCCCCGCTTTCCACCAATGTTTTTAAAATACAAGTCACATTTGTGGGGGCCTTATCTGCCTCATCAATAACTAGGACATGCCCCTTCTTGACGGCTTTCACCTGGGAAAAAAATAAATGAGGCATCAGCGGCATAAAGGAGAAACTGCATCATCAATTCCGGAAGCCTTTAGAGAGAGATTTAAATTTATGCTCTGCTTTTTCATGTGCCCAGAGTGGACAAGGAGCTGCAGATCCTTCTCTTCTGCTTCCCCCAGCTGAGTGACCACCACAAGCCATATGGTGGTCTGCTGCAGGCTGCAGAATGCTCCATATATTAGGCACCAAAGAGAGCATGCTCACTGCTTTACATAATTAAACGCTGATACCAAGTGATGTGCAGTTGGGAATGCAAAAGCCAGGCCTCACCCAGGAAGGGTGGATTGCCAGAAACTCAGTCTCTGGGCTGCGACAAAGCAGTCTGGGGAGCTGAGCAGAGCCTGGGGCAGAATTGGGAATTTTGTGGAAAAACAGCATGTGGGAATGGCTCTCCCCGTGCACTGCTTTCCAGCCTCTGTTCTGTGGGTTACCAGGACCCCAACTCTGCAGGAAAACGACATGCTGGGAGAGTGATTCTGCTCCAAGGGCAGCAAAATTTATTTTGAAAAGAAGTCATGGATTATTAGGATGTAGCAATCTCTTGCAGATCATGATCAAGACATGAATCCACCAATATACTAATTTACTGACAATGTATGTTAAGGAGAAATCCATATATGCAAATCTGTCAGACATGACTTACTAGTGGAGAATCTTCATACACAATTAGGCCATCCTTAACAGAAGGCTGCAGTGTAAGGCTTTGCACGGTGGTATCTCTAAAAAGCAAAATAGGAACATGTTTTATACAGAAAAATGGGAAAAGCCATTAAGCGAAAATAGCTTTGATTCTTACCGCTAGGCACAATACAAGAACTCATACAAGGAGCGGTAATATATTGTATTAGGGAGAGATCACCTTTGTGGTCACATTTGGCCATTTGAGAAGGTGTCCTGGGCACCGCCACAAAATGGCTTCCATGGAGAAATAACTGGCTGAGATAAAATAATCTGAAATAAACACTGCACACAGAGCACACTAAATTGCTTTGAAGCAACACATTTCTTGGCACCACTGACAGAAATTTTTTTCACAGCATTCTGGGAATGTCACATGCTTTGCTTGGTCTGTAAGTCGTGAGCACCAAGAAAACTGACCAGGGACTGCAGTGAGCTATGGGGAAACCATACTGTCTACCCCTCTGTTATGCTGTATTGCTAAAGAATCATACTAGATAACACAGAGAGACCCCGCAGCTAGCTTTAAGGGAAACTGGGACAACAATCTACTTGTGTGGAAAAATGCCATTAGTTTTATTATTACACTAAAGCTGCCATCCAAGCCTGAGTCACATGTAACAGCGTCAAGGCCCTGAAGAGCCAAACAAGCAAGCTTTGCCCACAGGAAACGAATGGAAACCAAGGAGTAGGGGAGGCAGCTCGCTTGCTTACTTCACATCAACCAGGGGCTAAATTTTAACTAACCTCAGCCTCTCATTTTAATGAGTAAAGGAGGTTTTTCCCCCTCTTTTCTTTCTCACAATTTTCAGCACCTCTGGAAAGCCTTAATGCTTCTTCCCGTCTCGACATTCCTTCCCCACAAGAGGTGCTGCGTATTTTCAAGAAATCCAACCCGAACCGCATGCCATTCATCCTCAGAGCACTTGCTCTATGCTTGATGGACATGTCATTTATTCCACCTCCGTTGAACTTGAAAGCATTTCCTCAGACTTTTGAAAAGCATAATTAAAAAAGCACCAGGTGTTTTTGCCACAACCTCTTCTTTCAATTAAAAAGGAGAACTTGACTATAAAGAGAATCTCCAAAGAGAAGTCTGACAGATGGAAAGGCTTTTTTCCAGAGCTGGTTTACAGTGCCCTTCAGATTTCTTTGGAAAATACACGTGGCCAATTCCTTTTTGCCTTTTTCTGTGGGTGGATCCTAACGCCACCGTAGACAAGCTTAGAGAGATCCATGTATGGAGAAGACACTTGTCCCAGAACTGGGACTGCATATTTGCCAAGTTACAGACAGCTTGGAAGAGAGGGTAAGTTTCCTCTGCGATCGTTGCCACTCCACATTTTGTTAGAGGGAGAAAAGAACACAATGTTCCATGGAGCAGGAAAGCCCCCACTCTCACACGTGACAGCTACAAGAAGACGTCTATCTGAAGCAAGTCAGAACTCCTTTGGATCGCAGAGACATTAGGATAAGGTTCGAAGGGGACAGACTCAGAGAGTGCTGTTCAAACACACTATAATGATCCAAATATGGAAACTGGGGGAAGGTGCTTTCTGCATATCCAAGACAAGTATTCTGTGCCAAGGGGCTATTTCTGCTTTCCATCGTAAGATATGACACCTCCCTCCCACACCCGGTGGCTTGAATGACGTGCATATTGGTCTGAATTTACGTACCACCAATCATTCCCATATTATACAGATGTGCATTAGCAAGAATATGAGCTTTGTGGTAAGTACACATTTGCAGAATTTGCAGTATTTCTTTGCATCAGGAGGGCTGCAATATTTTACCAGCAATGTCTCTGAAAATGCTAAGTGATGGCAGGCACCCAATAATGAGCTTATAAAAGGCATTACGACAAGGTGTTTCTCACCTATGCAGTTGCAAATACTCTCTTGGCCTATTTAACAGGTTAAGGAATCTGTCGACTATCTTGTTTTTCCCCACACCCTATAAACAAAACAGCATTTCAATTAATACAATAATGAATTTAAAGTTCTTTTCACCCAAGAAAAAGCAATCCCCATTCCCCAAAGAGGCTTTCGAATTATAGGAACCAAAATGGCTTATGTTGCGGTATCTAAAATGGTGTGTGATTCCCATTTTGAGATGCTGGGTGTGGTAATGAGTGAGGTTCCAAAACCGATCGTTCCATGGTTCCTGAGATGGGATTGTGGCACACAACATCGTCATTCCCCCGGCAGCGGGATTTGCAGATTAGCACGGCTGATCCTATACTTGTTTTTGTCAAGCCCATGGTTTCTGCTGCTTCTGTCTGGTGCCCACCATGACCCCCCATTAAACTAGTCTCAGTGGGCCCATGACCGAGTTTGTACAATCAACTGGATTAAATGCACTCCTGGGTTGGAGGCACCGTAGCCCAATAGCCCCTTCACAGGTTGTCATGCCCCTGCAAAACCGGCAGGGTTGGGCTGCAGGTGAGGGCAAGGAGCCATCCACAACCCCAAAACAGCCTGTGCATTCTGGGTGACCAAAAGCTTTCTCGGCATGACAGAACAGTGGAAGAGGAGCTAGAACATGAAACGGCTGCCTGTTAGTACTTGCAAATGGCGGTAGTTCACACGAGCCACAGTGGCTGGGCTTGGTTATGCACGTGTGGCTATCAAGCAAAGGCGGGTTGCAGTCTGGGCCAAAAGCCCCTGTGAACTTTCAAACCATGGTAAGGATTTGCTACAGCCAATCATGTTTAAAGATATACTTCTTGAAAATGGAAAATACTCAAAACATTATCTAGTAAAAAAATTAAATTCTTATTGAACTGCATGAAAAACAGTGGGATCTGAGGCAATGCAATGAATGAATAACTTAGCTAGGCCACACCTTTCCACAAATCATAATTACGATATGCAAAATAAACCCATGTGCGAGCAGAAGAGATTTTGGTTTTCTTACCTGGTTGCCAACTAAAAGAAGATGCTCTCCAAGCAAGAAGTCTTTTAGCATATCTTCCATCACCATCATATGCTGAACCATTTGCAGAATTTGAAAGAAAAAGAACAGAACAATGCTGAAGTGGTTCTGCTGTGATATGTAGCACACACACACAGCCACTGGCGTTGTTTTGGTGACATACAGCTATGACCTCAGTTGGGCAAACTTGCAGTATTTGTCTTTATCGCTAACATCCTAAGACCAGGATTGTTAGTTAGTTAGTTAGTTAGTTAGAAAATTTCTATGCCGCCCCATTTGCCGAAGCCTTGGGGCGGCTCACAAATACATCAATTAAAATATTATACAATAAAAATATAAAACAAGTTAACAATATAAAATAAGTTGCCCTGGCCAAAGAATAAAATAAATAAATAGTATTAACAGTTAAAATAACGTTTGAATAAAAAGGTCTTGGCCTGGCGCCGAAAAACAAATAACGACGGTGCCAGGCAGACCTCTCTGGGGAGCGCATTCCATAGATTGGGCGTCACCGCAGAGAAAGTCCTCCTCCGAGTACTTACCCTCCTAATTTCCTTCATGGAGGGTTCCCGGAGAAGGGCCACTCCCGCGGATCTCAGGGGGTGGGCGAGCATATATGGACGTAAGCGCTCCTTCAGGTAACCAGGACCCAAGCCATTTAGGGCTTTACAGGTCATCACCAACACCTTGAATTGGGCCCGGGCTTCAATGGGAAGCCAGTGAAGCTGATGGAGGACTGGAGTCATGTGAACATAACGCCCAGTCCCCGTCAGCAGCCTGGCAGCTCTATTTTGAACCAATTGAAGTATCCGGACCGTCTTCAAGGGTAGCCCCACATAGAGCGCATTACAGAAGTCAAGGCGGGAAGTCACCAACGCGTGTGTCACTGTCGCCAGGCAGTCATACTCCAGGTAGGGGTGCAGCTGATGGATCAGCCAAAGCTGCAGGAAAGCGCTCCTCGCCACTGCTGTCACCTGAGCTTCCAATGAAAGCTCTGTGTCGAGGAGCACTCCCAAGCTGCGGACCTTGTCCCTAAGAGGGAGTGCAACCCCATTCAGGACTAGGTTCAATTCACCCTCATCGAAGCCCGATCCGCCAACCAACAGGACCTCCGTCTTGTCTGGATTGAGCTTCAGTTTATTGGCCCTCATCCAGCCCATTACCTCGGCCAGGCACCGGTTCAGCACAGCCACTGCCTCACCCGGATTGGTGGAAAACGAGAGGTAGAGCTGGGTATCATCAGCGTACTGATGATTCTGCAGCCCACACCTCCTGATGACCTCTCCCAGCGGTTTCATGTAGATGTTAAACAGCAAGGGGGACAAAATGGATCCCTGCAGTACTCCATGGCATAGCTGCCATGGCGCAGAGCCATAGTCCCCCAGCACCACCTTCTGGAATCGGCCATTGAGATAGGAGCGGAACCACTGCAAAGCAGTGCCTCCGACCCCCAATCCCGCAAGCCTATCCAGAAGGATACCATGGTCGATGGTATCGAAAGCCACTGAGAGGTCCAAAAGAACCAACAGGGACGCACTCCCACTGTCCTTCTCCCTGCACAGGTCATCGTACAGGGCAACCAAGGCAGATTCAGTATCGTACCTGGGTCTGAAGCCGGACTGAAATGGGTCCAGATAATCAGTTCATCCAAGAGAGCTTGGAGTTGTCCCGCTACCACCTGCTCCAACACCTTGCCCAGAAATGGGATGTTAGCCACTGGTCTATAATTAGTGGCCATCTCTGGATCCAGTGACGCTTTCTTCAGGACCGGTCAGACTACCGCCTCCTTTAAAGGGGCAGGTACCCGACCCTCCCTCAGAGAAGCATTAACCACTTCCAAGATCCAGATCCCACTCCCGTGCTTGGAGTTATTTATTAACCAAGATGGGCAAGGGTCCAATACGCAAGTGGTGGGACGTACTCGTCCAAGCACCTTGTCCACATCATCAGGCCGCAATAACTGAAATTCATCCATTAATTTTGGACCAGACGGCGGCATTGCTATCTTCCCAGAAACCTCTGAGTCACTAGTAGAGTCTAGCTCGTGACGAATCTGAGCGATTTTCTCCCTGCAATGCTTGGCAAAGTTGTCACAGCAGGCCTCCGAGGGTGGAACCAGATCTTTCTTAGGATCTGGACGAACCAGGCCTTGAACCACTCGAAAAAGCTCCGCCGGACGGCATTTTGAGGAGGCAAGGAAACGGAAAAGAATTTCTTTTTCGCCACCCTCACTGCCACAGCATAGGCCCGATAATGGGCTCTCAATTGTGTTCGGTCAGATTCATCCCATGATCTCCTCCACCTACGCTCTAGCCGTCTCCCAGCCTGCTTCATCACCCACAATTCAGGTGTATACCAAGGGGAAGAGTGGGCTCTGCCCGGCGGGAGAGGACGCTTAGGAGCGATCGTGTCAACAGCCCTGGTCATCTCCCCGTTCCACAGTTTGACCAGAGCCTCGATAGGAGCACCAGTCTTGTCAGCCGGAAACTCCCCCAGGGCCTTCAGGAATCCATCCGGATCCATCCGGCTCTGGGGGCGGACCCACACAATCGGGTCCGCACCCTTACAGAGGGAGAGGCCGCTCTCGAGCACAAACCTCACGAGGAAGTGATCTGACCATGACAGGGGTGTCAGACATAAATTCCTCACCATCAGACCACCCTCTTCCTGCCCCGTCGAGAAAACCAGGTTCAGAGTGTGTCCACGTTCATGGGTTGGGCAGGTGACATGTTGAGACAGCCCCATGGCCGTCATGAAGTCCTGAGTCGCCCCGGTCAGACCAGTCTCGGCATGGAGATTGAAGTCCCCCAGGACCAACATCCTGGGTGTCCTCAACACTAGGTCCGAGATGATCTCCGTCAGCTCAGGCAGGGAGACTGTTGGGCAGAAGGGTGCACGGTACAGCAACAGAATCCCCAATCTGTCTCGGTCGCCTAACACCAAGTAGAGGCACTCCAGCCCTGGCCTCGAAGGGACTGGAAGTCCCGTGAGGGAGATGGAGGCTCGGTAAACCAAAGTGACCCCCCCTCCCCTCCCCTCCAGGCATCAACGGTGCTGAACCAGATACCCGGGCGGGCACATTTGAGAGAGGGCGACATCCCCCCCTCTCCCGCCCAGGTCTCCGTTATGTAAGCCAGGTCGGCCCCCTCATCCACAATCAAGTCATGGATGAGGGAAGATTTATTGTGGACCGACCTGGCTTTGAGCAGCAGCACCATCAGGCCCGAGGGGCGGTTAACAAGACTACCTGGAACCCTCTGGCTGGGGGCAAAGCCAGAAGGAGGGACAGGTGTCAGCCATCTGTCCCTCCTTCTTCTACGCAGACACGTTGAGCCCCCACTGCTGTAACGTCCATTGCCCGTGACCACCCCAATGGCGGCGCCCACACTCTCCCCAGGAAACACAAATGTCAACATGGCCAGGGAAGACTCCATAAAAACAAATTAAAATACAATAAAACTTTAAAAACAATCAAAAACTCCACATTTCCCCCCCAATACAAAATTAAACTCCCCCCCACCAACCTAGTCCCCCGCCAGCCCAGCCCCGCACGGCCATGAATGGCCACAAATGGCGGCGCCGGCCAGAGGCCACTGGCCCCAGGCCGCGTCCGGCGGGTTAAGCCGGCGCCCGCCCACGCGCCCCGCCCCAATCCGGCATTGCTCTCACCAGCACCGGTGGTGGGGGGAGCAGGGAGCACAGCTAATGTGGGTCAGATCTAGTCAGCTGCAAAGTTGAAGGACAATGTGCTAGTGGAGGGTTTGGCTGAGCGCAGTAGGAGGTTTCTTAGTGCACAAGCCACGAACGCTGCACAGGCCATGGTACACCACGAGCAGCAGCGCAGGTTGACGGTGGCCCTTCTGGAAGTAGGAAAGAATGTCTCCGATCGGCCGCTGGCGGGAAAAGATGGTCGTGAGGCCTATCCTGGCTTGACCTTAGCAACAGCTTCATGCTTATCCTGAGGAACACAGCTCATTTAAAGCAAAGAGGCTGGGTTCACCCAACTCAAGAAGCGACTGTGCTTGCCTGTTACCCTTTTGGTCTGTCGTGTCGTCTGAACCTCATTGCAGGGTTTTGAGAAACCATGAACTGAAATAGTGGTTTCTTCTACAGTTTCTCAGTACCATGATTGCTTTTGTGTTGTCCAAACTGGAAAACACAACTCGTTGTGGTGCACAGGCCAGAAACGCACCGCTGCTTGGCCAGAGCAGCTTGCTGTCACTCTTGCCAAGTGGCTAACCAGAGTTTTGGATTCCAGAAGGGTTCATCCCACCCCTCCCTGGAGGACTGAGAAGGAAGAAAATGGTGGACAGGAAGAGAGTTACCATGCTAACCCTGATCATCTTGCAGGCACGTCTGTGTAAAATGCTACATGTGGTGGAAACAGCGCAGGATTGCTTGCTGCGATGTGTATGAGAGAGTTTAAATAAGCAGAAGGCATGCCAAAAGTCTGCTCACATATCCAACAGACTGCACAAATTCGCCTGTAAACGGGATTTTTAATGGGCATTCTCTCCCACCCTGCCAGTTGTTCCATGCTTCCAGTTGTTTCTACGAAAATGTGTAAATCTGTCAACTTATTTATTTATATACAGTACACTGCACAATGCCATTTAGGCCAACCTATACAATAGCTCCTCTGCAAATAATTTTGAAGCAACAAAAACAGCAACCGAGAACTATGACAATCCTGGCAAGGAAAAAAAATAGGTCATTTCAAGTAGGTCAGAGCCTACGGAAAGGAATAAGAAACTCTATGTAACAACCTTTCCTTTCATTAACACCTTTTGCATCACCATCTGCAGACACCAATATATAACAAAACCCAGGGTGTTATTAGCTCCGATGCTGAAATAAGTTTCTAAAACCCCTCAGTATAATTTACGGCAACATTATTTTCTAACACTGCAGTAAACAAAACATGTTCCTGCCAAGGGATTATCCAACCAGATCATAACTGGGTGAGGCGGATAAAAGATGAACAAGTATTCTGTGCATCCAAACAGGAAACACACAGGGGCAATAAACAGGCACAAGTGAGAACTCCTGCTCCCAAATAACTTTACTGATCAAAGCAAATCCTGATGTTAAAAAAGCGATCCTAATAAATTTTAAAAGAGCAGTTTTTGAGTCACGCTTTGAGTCGTTACTTTAGTGTCAGTATTGCTGGCTTCAGTTCTCAGATCCTGTTTCGCTTTGCACTCTGCCTATCCTCTGAGCCTCTTGCTCCTTAAACTGCGGCTAAACTAGGAAGTTTCAACTTAACCGCTTGAACCAGCCGTTCCTCGTGCTAGGGGACGGCAGGATAGATCTGAAGTGGACCGACTTTCCTTGCTTGTCTGAAGACGGTGGCCACAACATCCCAGTCTGGATGCCATGTGGGGCTGTGGTTACTCTCCGACTTCCAGGAGTCACTGTGATTTAACCAGAGAAAGGAGCGAAGTGGCTAAGCAGAGGGGCGACGGTTCCCTGGGAAGGGATTTGCTTTGCAAGTGCTCCTAGTCAAACCACCACCAGCGGCTGGAATTACTGTATTTTCCGTGTATATGACAATACTTTTTCTTAAAAATATTTGCCTAAAAATGGAGGGGCGTCTTATACATGGGAGACTGGGAGGAGAACTGCGGTTGCGAAACTGCCGATACCTTATCTCTGCAAACTAGCCTCATGAGCGAAACTTCCGATTGCTGAGACAAGCTAGCGGGTTTCCTCCGATCATGAGCCTTATGGAAGTGACGTCAGCTGGTGCTGTGCAGAGCGTGCAGACCGGGGTCCTCAAGCTTTTTCAACTGGGGGCCAGTTGAAGGGTGGTGGCAGCCGGTGCAGGCACACTCGGGGGGGGGGGGGATGGGCACAATTGCGGGCGCACTCAGGGGGGAGACTGGCATGATCGCGGGCGTGTGCATGTGGAGGTGGCGAGGCAGTGGGCGCGCACACGCGTGGCGAGGCAGCAGCTTGCTCACTTGGAGAGCCTCTACATGGGGGCGTCTTATAGACAGCAGAACACGGTAAACACTCCAGTGCCCTTTGTCCTGCTCAGGTGAACAGAGAACAGCAGGCGAGACTTGAGCTGACCACCGAAATCAGGACCGACGGCCTCAGCAGACCTCTCAAGGTGGTGTTTGACAACATCCTTCCACAGGAAAGGGTTCAGCAGGAAGAGCGGAATTTGCCTTTCCACCTCAAGTACCCATTTAAAGAATAAAGTGGTTTATTACAAAAAGCCTGACGGTCCCTATGCAGTGGGAGTCTGGCACTTACTTGAGTATTTTCATAGAACAGAACGTCAGGCACTTTCATTCTTTCGTGCGGGTTGTACACAGGAATGGAGACGGTCCCAATCCTCAGGACCCCTGAGTTTACTTCACCTGGGTATTTTAGATAAATCAAGCATTACTCATTGTAGAAAGACAGGGAACATTATACCTGTTAAAAGATGAAACCGAAATCTCTGATTTTAGTAAGGTCAGATACTAGTAAGTGCAGAAAACGTAGTATTTAGCAAGAGTGATTGCTGTGGTATTTTTTGAAGGGCCATCTTACATGCTGGAGTATATGCTTAGGCATATATAAAAGCCAAATAGAAAAACAGCTTCTGGTGATTTCAAATCAGCACTGACTTTTAATTAAGACTATTTATTTGATTTATATCCCGCTTTTTTCTTATGAACTCAAAGCAGCTAACCCCACCACTCTCCTCCTCCTCTCCATCTTGTTGTGGTGGGGACCACAACAACCCTGTGAGGTAGGTTGGGCTGAGAGTCTGCAACAGGCCCAAAGTCACCCAGTTGGCTCCATGACCGAGCGGGGACTCGAATCTGGATCGTCTTGAGTCCCAGTCCCACGCTCTTAACCACTACGCCACACTGGCTCTCTGATCTACTAGATCTAATAGTAATTTGATCAATTTGTTAGTTAGCAGTAATATCTTGAATGCGGCCTGTAGTCGATGAAGGTATTCAATTTAGCATATCATAGGACAACCATGAAATGTACATCTGCTCCACACCACCAAATTCTGCCTCCTCTTCCTACTATAGCAAAGCTTGGCCTTGTGTGGCACTTCAAAAGACCAGAAAGTTATTCCCATCCAGTGTGATAGCAACATCCAACACATGCAGGAGTAACGAGCACGCTGTCAAGCTCCGCACGGCCGACACTGACAGTCCAGCAAAACAGTGGCAGCCTTGCTTCTTCAATTTACATGATTAGCACAGCTCGTCTTTGCGGCCCAAGGCAGACGCTTAAGCCCTCAGGATCACTTTGGCCCAAAGCCTGTTGAAGATGAAGAACCGGCACTGGAGGCACTGCAGACGGAAATGTTTCAGGAGTGATTTTGCTGCAGGAGGCGGCGGAGGCGGCAACGGAGAGGTTGCAGGCCTTGGCCAACTCGCCTCCCGAGAAGCCAGTGCGGTGCAGGAAGCAGAAGGGGTGGCCATGTAACAGAGGAAGAGCAAGCAAAACCCCCGTTCAGGGGCCAACTAGGGTAAAGCACATCCTCAGAATATGAGTTTCGCACTGCACACCTGGAATTCTAGAGAGAAAAGAAACCAGACCACTGAATCATCCCCCATTTTGTGTGTTTATCTTGAAACTCGGTTTAGCAGACTGTGGGGATAGGGTGGGCGGTGGGTCAGCTTACAGCCAAGGTCTTTTCCCTCCATTTTCTGCATTTCCGTGGGGGTCGTTTCAATTCCAGAGTCCAGCAGATTTTTATGCAAAGCAGATTTCACAAGATTGGGTAAAAACCTATTGAGAGAGAAACAGGAGAATGGTGATGTTCTGAAACAGTATCTATGGATGCCCTGTGGTACCTCAGCTCACGCACTTAATCCGTTCCGGGACTCTGGTCGTGACCCAAACTGATCATGAGCCAAGTCAAATTTTCCCATAAGGTTCAATGTGAATAAGGTTAATCCGTTCTGTAACCATTTTTTTTAAATCAGAAAAATGTGAGGCAAAGTGACAAAGAACAACAAAGATTGCGGCCACCTACCCCCCCACCCCGAGCACGCCCGTGATCGTGCCGGTCATCCCCGTGCCGGCGGGAGAGAGACGGGTGTGAGCACGGGCACAGGGGGTGTGGGCGCAATCATGCCAGGGGGGCGGGGATGGCCGAGATCGTGGTTGCGCTTGTGCAGGAAAGATGGGTGCCATCTCGGCCATCTCCGCAGTCGGGGGGGAGAGCTGGAGCGATCGCAGTCACCACCCAATGCAGAGTTCACGACCTGAGTCAAAATTTTTATGAAATGTTTGTTCGCGACCTGTGAACTGAGACGTTCGTGAGCCGAGGTACCACAGTACTTCTTTTACCAGAAATAAATTCTGTAGTTTGGGGTCCCAGAATATCTTTCGCATACATGCTGCTAGGATGATTCCAGGCACACGTGTGTGTCTTTCTTCGTTTTTGTTTTGCATAAGTATGGAAATTAGAAACTATATAGTGGCACAGCTGAAATTCTCATGCTTCTTTCTGCTACCTCAATAGTAATTCCTGCTCCAAGTATACAGAATATACAACAGAAGTTGGTGAGTTAAGACAACAATATCCAGAGCAAAGCTTGTCTCTTTATAAGAAATCATAAGCTTGTAGAAGAAGCCTAATGTTGCCTCTGCGTATTTTGGACAAGCAGAATGAAAATATTGTCCTTTTCCCTTTCCCCCTCACATTAGAAACCTCCTCAGGCTGGAATAACAGACCTACTGCAGTCTGTTATTCACTGAGGCTCCCCCGCTTGCTAGCTGCTATTATTCGTATTTGAATGGAAGAATTCTGGCAAAATGATTATCTGATGTAATTTACTGTAGTAGTAATTACAATCCCATTCCTGCTTTGTATAATGTTGGCAATTTTGTCCTGATAGTCTTGTAATCCTATGCGGGAATTCAATTAAACACAAACCTCGCAGCTGGAAAGCAACGTGTCCTCTCTGGGAATTTCAAATTGTTAAATAAATAAATCTCACTGCTGGGTGAAAAGCAACTCGCCATCATGCAAAGCCCACCTGGAAAGACACGCTTTACTGACAGCATGGTAGAGACTCTCATCTGGGTAGCAGGACAGTCGGCGGCTAATTCTCAACAGCTGCCGGGTAGACAAGGACGACACCAGTGACTGCGCCTATCCAAAGTAAAATGAATTTAATCCGGTATTTTGCAGCCGACAACAGAGGAGGGGAGCCTGATTACACGAGGGGTAGATCTTTCAAAGTGCACTGTTCTGTTCTCTGGGGTACGATTCCAGAAGGTCCTATTCTGTGGCTCAACACTGGTGGTGCAAATCTCTCTCTCTCTTTTAATTCCAAGGCACTGAGTAGCTGACAACGTGGGAGAAAAAAGGCACACCGGAAATCCTCAGCTACGAAGGTGTAGATATTAATGGCAAAGCACTACACTGGCGCGAACATTAATGGTGGCTGAACAGGATTCCTTCTCAACGAGGATTTGAAATCATAGTTCGAAGCAGAGTTTAGCAAATTTTGTTCTATTGTCATTTGGTCACCAAGAGATGGGAGAAACTTTAAACAGCTTAGCAAGTGAACAAAGTTAAAACTTGAAATAATTCTCCTCCTCAGGCTGGGTCCTCCATACATTATCCAAAGTCTAAATCTAACAAAGAAGAACTGAACAAATCTAATATCTTGCAGAGACACCCAACCGCAAGATACAGGCCACATTTAATATCAGGATTACTTCATATATTTAGCACACTGGCAATGGTGCTTTGCTCCATCCTTACCACCTTATGTAAGAGCAAACACGCACCTGGCATCCTGTGGGGACAAAGAAGCCACGCTCGTTCCCAGTCCTACACAAGTCACTCAAGACGGAAGACCTAAGGCAGGCATTTCGACTCCCAGTGCAAGCGAGTTATTTATAATTCTCTCTACAGATAAACTGTCACAACGCATCTGCAGGAATCGCCCTTCAATCCAGACAGTGACTCATTTCTGAGGTAGTAGACTCTGGACATTTTAAATATTATCTCTATTGAAAGGTTCTGCTTTTTAAATTCTCTGTAATTACATGTTGCTAATTAATTTAATACGATGCCTGTTGAGGCCAAAATAAGTGCACCAACCCCAGCATTCCCCAGACAGCCATTGTGGCCAGTGGATGCTGGGAACGGTAAGAATTTTCCCCTCTAAGCATGTGTAGGATTGTGCCATGGGTGGACACACACATGCACGCACACACGTCCCCCCTCCCCCCCCCGGTGAAGCTCCTCACACATTTTTCAAGGCAGATCAGATTTAGGCATTAAAAGGATAAACATGAAAAGGTTTTGCCCTTCAAAGATACCATCTTGTCATTTGTTTCCTCTTTAAGTGCAAATCATTAAGAATAAGATAATAGCATTTTCTGACTGACCCTTATTCTAGTTTGCAGCTTTGTTTCCACCAAGAAGTTCTAATAAATCCCTAGGCAGAAGAGCTGACAAAAACATTAAGCACTCTACTCACAGTGTCTCAGTGAACTCAGTAAATAGTGAAATGACACTACCTGGTTTCACAGGGATTTCCTGTAAGAACATGCCTGAATAAGTACCTATAAGGACCTTGAAGGCTGTCACAAAGAGCAAGGTCAGGATCCCTTCTTGCTAATGCCAGAGTGTAGGGCACAGAATAATCAAGTCAAGCTGCGACAGCCCAGGTTCAGGCTGGGCATCAGGAGAAGCTTCCTCCCTGTCAGAGCAACGAGGCAGTGGGACCAGCTGCCCGGAGGGGTGGGGGCTCTCCCTCACTGGGGACACTCAAGGGGAAACTGGACAGCCCTCTGAGTGGGGCGGTGTCCTGCGTCAGCAGAGGGGTGGACTTGATGGCCTTCATGGCCCCTTCCAACTCCACTATTCTATGATTCTGTGATCACGAAGGACCGTCGTTTGCCTTGCTGCCTAAAAGCCCACTGCTTCAAACACAGCTGGCTGGTGGCAATGCAGCACGAGCGTTGTTCCAGTCAGCCATAAAGAACATGCTAAGCGGACAATTAGAGTAAGAACAGTGGGACTCACGGTTGGATCATTCGTTGCACGAAGTCTGTGTGTTAACTTCAGGAGCTGCTCCACTGCAGCACTAGGCACATTCGGGACCTGGAAAAAACATTCCAATGTATGGATGAACTCGTGATCTGCATGCCAGATCACGAGTTCATCCACTTCTTTTCTCTTCTTTTATGACTTTTCTTTTATAACTTCTTTTATATCGTTTATATTTTTTATTTTATATTATTAATTTTATTTTTGTATTGTTATTTTTATATTGTATTGTATTGTATTGTGTTCTAAGCCGCCCCGAGGCTTTGGCAAGGGGCGGCACAGAAATGTTCTAATAATAATAATAATAATAATAATAATAATGCCAGTCCTTAAAGGAAAGCCTTTGGCTAGGGAACACGTAGGATTCGTGGAAGTCAAACAGGAGAGCAAAAAAACAAGGAAGGAATCCTGCAAAGGACCCAGTGAGAACCGGGAATGTTGAGGAAAACAGCAATGGAGTGAAAAATATGTTTGAATGTCTATGAAATGGACTTGCAGAATCCACAGGTTTTCCTGAGTCACATGGATTCCATGGATTTGAGGACTGATTCGCATTTTTTGGAATTTTATACAAATTTAGTTATAGAAAAATACCAGAAAGTGCATGTCCTCTCACGGGCTAAACTTTGAAGATATTAATAGGAGGGGGGTGATTTGCACATTTTTGGAGATGTCAATTTGTGCAGCTGTGAATGAACACAAGTCTGAAAAACGGGGATGAAATCCAGTTCGATCAGTGGAAGGGCAACAGAAGAAAAGGCAGCGTGGATGTCACAATATGTGTCTATTCCTGACGGGGTCAGAATACGTGTGGTCAGTGGACCCAGAATATTAAGTGTCTGGTAGAGGCAGAAAAATATAATGAAAACAGGGGCAGGAAGAGGAGGTGGAACAGAGGATCCTAGAAAAAGGTTGGTTGACTGTGCATTTCTGTGTACACATAATTTTCCCATGCACAGGAGTACAAACCTGGGTGGACGACACACATGCAAATCAAACACTTCCAGTGCCCCTTTGGCACATCTACTAAACCACAAGCGCATTCTGAGGACTGGGGGGTAAACAAGAATGAGCTAGTGTTGATGTGACGGGCGAGTGATGCTAACCAGCAAGCCAAATTTTTCCGAGCACTTACCGTCTCTGTAATGACTTTAATTTCTTCCTTCTTGTTCAGAGGTTTTACATGATGGAAAACGAAAAGTGTTAAGAGCTCTGCACCCAGCCATTGCTGAGTGGCACTTCCAATAACAGGAGGCTCTGCTAAGGCAACTATTCTGAAGGAAGGGTGGATGGGGAAAATGGACCTGTGAGAAAACACGGAGTTTTACTATGTTTCCTCTGAAGACAGATGAATTATAGGATGTTTAAAAGCATCCTTTGTTTTTGCATTTTCACTCATACAAGAAAATAATTGTGTTTTGCGGAACAACATTGTGACTGCAGTTAGAAAAACAGAAATCTGAATGAGTATCCAGCAGCTTCATACAAATCAGCAAACAAACCAGAAACTATTTCTATTTATTTGATCTATATCATGCCTTTCTGTGGAAAAATGGCACTCGAGAGAGCACCAAGATATTCAGCGCACTTCGAACTGTGGTTGCGTATCCTGGCTTATTCTGAAATTGCAGGCATAGCTTCCTGGTTTGGGTGAAATAACTGGAGATTTCCTGTTTGCTGGTCAGTTCACACAGAAAGGAAGCAAAGGACTCATTCATACTTTGCCACAAGGCCGCAACCTGAACAGGATGTTATGCTCGTTGACTGGCCAGTTTGGCAGATACAGAAACACCTGAACATTTCCAAGAGTGAACTGGGGCCTATTTGCTGCAAACAGTCCCTCAGATGAATGCTGTAAATGGTGACTTCAGTTATTTTTAGCTGAACATTCTAAGCCGCAAAGCTAATCCCTGACTGATAAAGTGTCTGAAATAATCTAATGAAACAGGATCCAGTGAATATACAATTATCCAAATGTAGGAATGCTGTGATGATCAGAAAATAGCAACTAAGCTTTTTAAGAAATGAGTATTTCTGAAATATACAGGGCAGCTAGTTATGTTTTCATTTTTATTCACTTCTATTTTCATTAGTAAATAGGGTAGCTAAAATGAGCACGCAGATGGATATGTGGACTGCCTTTGATGAGGCCTATGCATAATCAACTTTAACACTTGATTATTTGATCAATTAATTAAACCAGCTTAATAATTTAATATACTACAATAATACCTCTACTATATCTTATTTATTTAAAGCATTTAGGTACCATTTGATTAGCATAATGCTCTCAAAACACTATCATGCCATGCATAAAAGAAATCAGTGTACAGTATAACATTACTTTAGCAGATCTATTCAAAGCGCATGTAAGAAAACTACAACATTATTTTATTTCCACTTTTGTCTAGGTTTTACAGGTCCCTTCCAGCTCTACTTCTATTCTGTTCTACAGGAGGATGATCTTCCCAGTAAACTGTTTCTGAACCCCTGGTATTTAGCATCCATGCTATGCACTCCTAAATTCGGGAACTGCTGCACAGTTCGCAGATTAAAGGGTGCATGGGGCATGCGAAGGGCTGCTGGATCGATGGTTGATTCTGGAAAAACCCGCTTGGCAAGGACGGTGCCATGGCAGTAAGTGGATGAGGAGACTTCCAGCTATGCGCTCCACGCAAGTCTGATGCTGCCCACAGTTCTCCACAGCAGGAAGACAGGGCATTTGGTTCAAGATGTGGAAGAAGCGTCACTTTGGGTGCTTCCATTAGTCTGATTCAGCAGTCATGTTCCAAAACCCTACATCATGGGTCCTCAAACTACGGCCCGTGGGCTGCATCCGGCCCGTCATAGCTCACCACACGTGTCAGCTTGCTCGCAAGGAGATCGTTTTGGACTTGTTGGGGGAAAATGATCTCTGAGCATGCCTGCCTCTGCCCTTCTGCGCACCCGCGTGTCCCCCCACTCCGGCCCGACCAGCACCCATCCCTGGCACCTTTCAACTGGTCCCCTATTCCGAAAGTTTGAGGGCCCCTGCCCTATACTGTTGAACATTCCCACCAAGCATGGAAACGTGAGCCAATCGGACTCCAACACTGACTGTAGTTTACACATATTAGTGGAGTCCTGGAAGGAGCGATTGAGCAACCACTGAGAACTCGGAACTCAACTTCCTTTACAGTAGCGTTGACCAACAAAGATAGAGAGCAGTCCAGATCTACTAAAACTGATCTCCTTTAGAAGATGCCCGTACAAAGACTCCTATGAAGTATGCACAAATCAATTCTTAGCAGGTTACCTTTGCTGTAGTTTCTCATCTGAGAGCTGCAACTCTTCTTTTAACTTTTTATATCTATCTTCTCTGAGCAAACGGGTGCCATCATATAGGGCAATTTCTCTATCATGAATTAACCTGCATGGTAATTTGCAAAAAAGGATTTAACCACATCCTATTATCTAGTCTGTGAACTGATATTCATTAATTAGAGAACGTTTTTCTGTGTGCATTTAATTAGTGGCTTTCCAAAACCGAATTGATAAACCACTTGGCCATTCTGAAATACACACATGTAACCCCGCCCCCCGCCCCTGAAAAAAGCCCTCCCAAATGCAAGTGAGCTGGGAGCCCTTTTTCTAACCTGAACACATTTTCTGGAGTTTGCAAGTCCCCAAGGAAAGTTCAGAAGCAGAATTAAAACAGGAAGGATCCAGAAAACCAGGTCGCTTAGCTGTGACTGGCACCCTGAGCAGCCCCGCCTGCAACAGTGCCAGAGAACACTGCCTGCCAGACACTGCGGCCCACAACTCCCACCCTTCCTCGCCACCGTCGACGCTGGCGAGGGCTGGCGAGAGGCCAGGGTATCCGAAGGGCCACCAGCTGCCCACCCGTGACGTATGGGCTTTGCTCCTGGGCAGGGGGTTTTTGGACATGGTTCCCCAGCCCTCTACGCCCAGCGCTCAGGAGCCACAACAGCTTCCACCAGTTCCATCCCTGGCTAATGAGGATGCTGGCGCATAAGGAAGCACCGCAGACGGACTGCATGGACACCTGCTGCTTGCACCCTGGTTGCTCTTATGCCGTCCAGTCCTCCACCTCTCAGGCCCTTTCACTGGCCGCTGCACTTCAAGATGGGAAGGTAGCTGGGGAGCAGCCACAGCACCTCATATTCTAGCAGCCCTAGCGCCCTCTCCCCCAAATTTCCCCCTTTAGCTCCTTTGCAAGGTCAATTTGCCATCCTTGAAGAAGCAGCTGTTTCCACACCAGCTGCAACCCGAGGAGGGGAATCAGAGTACGGATCCCCAGGCCCAGGGCTGGAGTGCCGCTCCTGACCTCATACTGGGGGGTCCAAGGCATCCTGTGCCTCCCCAGGCCCTCTCATTAATCACGCTCCTTTAAATGCTATTCCGTGCAATGGAGGATTCGGCTTCTCTTTCTTTCAGGAGAACCCGGTGTTTAAGGATATGAAAGCATGACTTAACTGAACAGAAGTGAAGATAAGGGACAGGATCTGTGCAGGCACACATTCCATGCACGCATTTACTGCCCAAGGCTTTGTCTTTCAAAAGACAAGTACCTCAAGAGCCTCTGTCCTCGCCCTAAATTTCCAGACTGAAACAGCCATTTAAAACTTTGAAACGAACACCCTTTTGGGGAACAGGGCATAAAAACGTCCTGTGTACACCTGCATCAACATCCTCCTCACACTCCCAGCTAGAACGTTTAACCTCCTCCATGCAATCAGCATGGTTTCCAAAATGTGATGTATATGCAAGGTAAAGCACAAGAATTCTAAAAAATTGTGAAGACGTCTTTCAAATGTGAGGTGCTAATTATATTGATGGTGTGACAGCAAGAACCAATTCAGGAATGCAATAACTTCAACCATCAGCAATGGTGTTATGCTGCAAGCATTGGCACCCTGACAAAGGGACTCTTAAAGGGGCTGCTCAAGAAACAGCAGCCGCCACCTTAAATGTGCATTTCGAGAGCTTACGGCGTCCTTAAAAGGTTAGTGCTGAACACAGAAATGTGGAAGAAATAGTATGCCATGAAGTGTCATGCAACTGCCTCATAAAACCGAGTAATTAATTCCACTGTGTTTAATATTGCCAGCCACTGTGAGCAAAAGCTATGAAATGCAACCTCACATTTTTAGTCATTTTTCAAGAGTGACAAATACTGCAACTGGTATATCCTTGAGTGAGCTTTATGAAACAGTCTTTAGAACAGATTATAAACGCAGGGGATGAAAGCACTTTCAGCCTGGGACTGAATTGCATTTTAGGGGGTTATGGGGCAGCATACAAATAGAATTAAAAAAACACACAAAAAATAATTTCAGAGAAGCTTCCTGAGGCCACATCTCAGTGGTGAGCAGAAGGGCAAGTTACCAAATATCTGAATTTGAAGCTCTTAATGCCAACAACATAGCCCAAAGAAAGGTGTTTTGAACTTTTAGAACAAGGGTGAACAATAAGCGGCCCCTGAAACCCCGCAGTGCAGGCTCTGCCACCTCCCAAAATTCAAGGGGACCCAAGAATGATCTTTGGAAAATTAACCTTTTTATCCTTCAGGAACTGCTCATGTGGAAGCTACTAGCTGGCGTGAGCCTGCTGAACGCATGCACGCCTCACTGTTCATATCTGTTATTAAGTGCAGAGACCCTCGCAGCAGGGCTGCCCAGCTGACCTTTGGAGGATGGCTAGCATGCCTGGGTTGACCCGCTGTATGCCGTCCAGAATCACAAGCTTTCCCTCCAGTGCAGCCGTGACAAGAGGAGAAGGCCGCCAGGAAGTGTCCCCATTGGGCAGCGTGTACCTTTGCTGCACCAGATCTCGGGCCGTCATATCCTATGAATGACAAGAGAAGCAACCAAGCTGCCATTAAACATGGACTTCTGGAGGGGTGAACACTAAAACAGGTGAAAGAATAGAACAATATGTTGAAAAGCGAAAGCAAGCCCAATCAATAATGTTGGTGGCGATTAGTGGCTACTCTGTGACGTGCTGCTGATGAAACGCCCAAGGTGTTCAGAGAGCCTCCAACGACCGGGTATTGAGATACCAATAAGCTTACCTGATAGAGCACGATGGGATCCATGTCGTATCCTAACACAGCTGCAAACTCCTTAGCTAGAACTGTTTTGCCACATCCCTGAAGGAAAAAAGGAGGAAAGGTGCCTTGAAACAGAAGGCAGAAACTGCGCGAGCAAATTGCAAGTAACAATTATTTCCAGATGAAAAGCTCGGTAGAAACTATTTGTGATAAAGAGGAGCAGGGAGACTGATTTATTATTTAACAAATTTGATATATGCTGTGTGTATGGCAAGTTTCCATTATCGCTAGCCACCTTAGGATACTTACTTTGTCTCCAATTAAGCAAATATCTTTAACCATATGGGACTGAATCATTTCTGCCAAGAGCTGTTCATGGCTGGCAGTCCTGATGAAGCCCTCTGCCCCAGAATGCCGGCCTAGTGGCTTAGTCCCAGTAGGAACCTAAAATAAGACTATAAGCATTAATCATCAAGTACAACATGATATTTAAGCTGACCACATACACTCTTCCTTGGTCCATACAATACATCCTGAACTTTGTCAAACATTAGAAACAAAACTTGTACCCCCGCAAAATAATAAACCATATCCAAATCTCCCATTAAGAAAACAACATTAACGTCTGTCATGAGCTGCATGTAGACTGAATGCTAAACCATGGTTTAGCTGAGACAAGAATGAGCCACAGTAAACACTGGGCTCATACCACGCTCCCAATTTCTGCCCTGCTTTCACTCCCTCCCCCTTTTTTAGATTAACCACAACTTATTGCGATGTCCAAATCTGGACAAGCTGTGGTACCTATGTTTAGTTGAGACAAGTTTGATATTAATCACAGTTATGATATAATGGCAAACTGGTCCATGTAAAAGGGAACAGAAAGTTTCTGCTCTCCCTATCTCTAGGAGCACTGGAGGAGGAGAAGGGATAAAAAACTTAAATGAATCCATTGACTGCTGCAGCTAGTCCTCACCATGCTAAACCAAAGACTGGAGTTAAATGAAAGCATAGCCATTTGGCTTCTGGTTATGGTTCAGGGCAATTCAAGGTGCAGCTTAAAGCCCTAAATTGCTTTGGTGCAGAACACTTAAAGTGCACCCTTATTTCATAGAAACTCAGGTTATCAGAGAAGTTAAACTACTTCTCTGGATCAACCTCCCAGGTTACAGGAATGTAATGCATGACTTACTTTTTATGTACACACTCTGCTTGACTCTTTGAAAAATTACCTGAAATGTCACAGCTTTTCCAGTTATCTGAACTGTCACAGCAGCCTGCAGAAGCTTGTCGCTGTCCATCTTCTTCACATTTAAAACTCTTGTAGGTGCAGAAGAGCTTCCCAAATCCTGGAGATCAAATCGCTAACAGGAAAAAATAGTTTCTTTTTGGCTTAAGGCAATGCACATTTTCTGTATTTCCTTTCTCTTCTTGCAAAAATAACTCCAGTCAAAGCTCTCCATCTTGTTATGCTGACACAGGGCAGCCCTTACGCAGAGCCAAGTCACTACTTAAACCAAGGGTGAGCAAACTGTGCCTGCCGAAGTTTTGGCCTACAACTCCCATGATCCCTCATCACTGGCTCTCCTGGCAAGGGCTGGTGGAAGTTCCAGCCAAAACATCTGCAGGTACAAGTTGCAATCCTGGGCCTGATTAATCATTATACTAATGTTCAGGGGCAATTAAGGGCCATCACTGGCATGAGCACTGAGGACCAACCAACAGAAGTCACCTCCAAGAACAGTCTTGGATGAACAAGGGAATTGGCGGAGAAACTTGGGGCAGCTTTGGGCCAGAGCTTTTATGGATCACAGCACTGGCTTACTTCCAAGTCAGTTTGCTTAGGATTGGGCTGGACATACCACTTCAAGCAATCATACTGCCAAAGCACATCTTCTGTATTTGGGTCAATTAGTCCTCAGGCAATCAGGATCAGGCCTCAGCATGACAACAAGGATAATGAAAAGGAAACACGGCTTGCGGAAAGCCCGCACCTAAGGTTTTCATCAGTCTTCCCTTTATCTGTCCCTCCCCCCCCCAAAAAAAAAGAAAAGAAAAGAAAAGCATGAGGAATACAGAAAAGAACCAGAATATACATGTCCACAAAATAAAATATTGGGTAATTCTTGAGGATGCCATGTTCTCTCTAAGGTCCAAAGTATCATATTAATAAGATGGCAGATTTCTAAGCCAGAGCAAAGCACCGAGGATGTTGCTGCTGCTCCATATAGTCCAAGCATCAATAACCTCACTCAGCTAAGGTGAGGGATACTGAATGGCGAAAAAGGATGCTCTGTTCAGGGGTGGATTAAGGTTCCGTAGCATAGTTTGGGCAAGAGAGCAACTAAGCCCTCCTGAGGTGGATAAGCCTGTCCGGGCCACGTGGGTACAAGTTCCCTCATACAGAAGCACGTGAAGAAGGAGGCCAGGTGGAAACTCTCTCGCTGCACAAGCTTTCGATATAGAGCTTGGTGTGCGCACAGAATAGGAATGTTCGAACATGTGGATCTGCCCCTGCAACCTGCAGTTCAGAAACGGGTTTGCCCCTGCAGTGAGACCCACATTCACAGCTCGTCTCAGCTATGAACTCGTGGGCGATCTGAGGCCGAATGCTCTTTCACTGCTGCGGGGACAATGGGAGGGCAGTGCTGTTGCGCAGACATCCAGAGAGGAAGACAAATAGAGACCATGACTATGCTTAGGGTCAGGAAGAGTTCCTCTTTGACCTAGGGTTTGTGCGTGTTGTTGTTGAGCCTGGATTTATACATCAGAAGGGACCTGGGAGAGGGAGGGCAGTCTATTCGCCACACTAATTTCTCAACCACAGTTAAACAATTTCCTGTGTGATGTCTACACAAGCACAACCAGATCACCAGTAAAACATGCATGCATACAGTGGAGACTTACTTTTAAGGAATCCTCTACTGCTGTTTTGCCTTCCTTTCCCAACAGAACATCGTATGGATAAAGCCATCTGATTATTTGCTGGACTGACATCATGGGGAAGGTATTCTTAACGGAGGACAATACAGGGAGAAAGTAAATATATAGTTATTGATGTGCTAAACCTGAAGAAACGCAGACGCCAGTGTTCTGTCAGCAAAAGTGTGTCATCTACAAGAACTCAACAGTAACTTAGCAAGCCCTGTCCTCCAAGGTTACTAGCCTCAGTTAGCCTGTAGAAAAAGGGATGAAAACAGCTGTGGAGATTAGAAAACAAAACAAGCAAGCAAGCAAGCAAGCACTGTCTTCCCTCAAGAGTATAAATAAGGCTCAGGTGAAAAGACATGTGATGAAAACAGAGCATTTGCTTAATCCAGGTCCGCTAAGTCATGTGCAAAAATAACAGAGGTCCTGCTTAGAGGAAGGGGGGCACACAACTAGACAACCTTTGAGGTCACTATTCCATGCAGTGATAGCCAGACAAAAGTCTGAGAAGCCTCGGCTTCCCCCGAGCAGAGCTGGGAAGTTGTAGGACTCCTCTCTAAATGTGCCCAGCACTGCATCCAAAATTATTATTTTTTTTATTATTATTATTACATTTTTATACTGCCCATAGCCAAAGCTCTCTAGGCAGTTGACAGCAATAATCATAGAATCATACACTCAAGTCACCCATCCCACTTCTTCCCAGGCCTGACCCTGCTTAGCTTCCAAGATGAGGAAGGATCAGGCACTTCAGGCTACATGGAAGCTACATGGAAGCTAAAATGAATGAATGGTGATTTTGGGAATTACGTAATAGACACTAACATTACAGCTGAAGCACTGAACTATTATAACTGTTTAGGAGTGGTATTTCTGAAACCAGCAGACATTGCTCCTTCAAAACAAGCTATACATAAATTAGGTCCTGAAAATTCACCAAAAAAACTATCATCTATTTACAAGGTAACTTTGATGTTCCACATGCACACAGATCAGAGTGAAAATGACTAGGATGCTACTTGCATCTTGCCTAAAAGTTGACATCCTTCTTCAGTGGGACACATCCAGAATAAGTCCAAGGACTTAGACTTTGTGGACATGCGCCTTAGTCCTTAAGCTTGTAATAAAATTCATTAAAAATCTTTGTCTGCAGCTCAGCTTCATATCTCCTACTATATGTCTCACCCTGTTGAGTTTAGTGACACCAGCTGCCTATGCCCACAAGCTAATGCAAGGAAGAGGTTGTCCCCTTTGTACAGGTCTTCTGCATATTTGCGCGGACCTACCAGAATCTGCACGGCGGACGATAAGCTGTCCAAAGGGAAATTGGGAAGGCCCAGTGTGGAAGATTCCTGGGTGCACATTGTTGTTGCAAAGGACAAAAGGCGAGAAATTCTGCAAATAATGTGAACCAACAGCAATTTTATCAGCATTTTCTTCCCTCCCCCGTTTTTCCATTCTTAATTTCAAAATAATAATTAGTAAAGTGAACAGATACTATCACAGTGAGGACACCATGACATCATGTATGCAAACAGGGAAGCATCTATGTACACTGGGTTCACTGGTATCTCGTACTGGCAAGCTTTGGTTTGGTTTGGTTTTAAAGCATGTTGCCAACTGGGCAAGAGAGGCCCACTGAAATTTCACGAGCATAGCTCTTTCTCTCAGCTCTACAGCTGGCAGCTCCCTGGCCTGTGTGCAGCTTACCCTTCCTCAAATTCTGGCAACTACCAGCACGAGGAATCCAACATAGCATGCTACATTTCACTTTGGCCCCACTCATACAAGGAAGCGATGCTTTTCCACTATGTGAATAAGTTGCAGGCCTGGATTCACACAATCTACGCTCTCTTGTATCACAAATCACCTTGTCTCTGCTTTAAACTAAGCACAGCTTTTGATGACATCTGAACTCTGGGAAATGTGGTTTATGTTGCCAGTGGATTCAGAGTAAGCCAGGAGGATCTGAAAATACAGCTTGATTCTGGCTTGTTCTCACACAGTATAGGCTGTACAAGAATTTAAGCTTAAGAATTTCAACTTAAGTTGATCAAGGCACTCATCTGAATTTGTTTACTGAGAATTCTTCCTCACCCTGTCCCAAGTGGAATTATTGCATTCCCCCAATTTATAGTACAACCATTTCAAGGCACAGGCCATGAAATCCACTTGAAGGCATAACCCTGATGGCAGGTTCATCTTATCTAGAATCTGGCTCTCTCTGGTTTGCAGGCTTGCTCTCCTGCTCAGCCTGGCCTTAGAAAGCAGGCTGAGCTGAGAGGAAGTCTGTGAATTCTCACACAAGCCCAGGGATGCAACCTCCTTGCATGTGACATGCTGCAGCACTCATGAAGTGGCCAAGCACATTTCTGGAAGAGGGATGCTGCTCTTGAGGCGGTTGCACAGGGTTCTTGGTGAGAGCTGCATGAATGCTTGGTGTGTTCACCAGGGAGGCAAAATTCGAGCCCCACGAAACTGTGCTGGAATTCAGCAAGCTGAGCCCAGCAGATCCAACAGATTCCCACCTCCAAAACAGATTCCACACACCTCTCCACCCGAACCTCTGTGTCCCACATCCAAACCATCTGACAGGATCTGTTTGTCTAGAGCACCAAAACGCCACTCAGGTGTGGCATTCACTGATTCTACAAGCCAAGAACACTGACCTGTAGTTTTAATGTGTACACTTACTTGTCTGTTGAAACTTTAGGTCCGATAAAATATAGCAGTGAAAGATGGTCCTAGAACACAACACGACACAGATCAGGCTGTGATGCTTAATGTGCAAGACCATTCTTTTCTAGAATAATTATACAGGCTCTGACAGGCTAGTTCTGGGTGTCCTGCTGACTCAGATGCTTTAAATATCACAATCAGTGCTTCAAACTAAAGTGCTGAGCTTGAGAATCTGGATTTTTTTTTTAAAAAATTCAAGCAAATTGTCTTTTGGCAGTGATTACTTTCATTTAAGGAATTACCTGGCCAATACAAAATACGCAAACTAAGCCCGACCCAAGCCAATAGTTTATGGTTAAAGTAATGTACTGCAGAAATGCTCAGATTTTTTTTTAAACCTGTCTTTCACATACAATATCAGAGATTTGCTGCATTCCTTACCTTGAAGGGTAAATAGTAAATGTCTCTGGCTTGAAATCTAGACCGAAGAGGTGGATCCAAAGGGTTACCCAAATATCGGGGGACAGGAAGACCCAGAGCAATCACTCTGAAGTTTTCACTGACCCTAACAATCCTCCAAGCGTCCAACTCTGCTTTATTGTGCTCCTAAATAAAAACAAGTGTCTCGTCACCATTCAGCAGTAACTTCAGAGCAAAGACACAGCAGTGAACAAAGAACAGCTATTGGAACTGGACAGCAAAGATATATAACATAGATTTGTTAGATGTGGAATTGTACTGCCTTCAATACAAATGTCATTTAAACACCCATCTTAATTGTAGTATTTCAACATCTATTTTGTACTTTACACATTAGTTCACCCACTGGATGTTTAGTGGACTTTTCACAAATCCCACTGAAGGAAGCCAGTTTAGTAACAGGCCAAAAATCACCCAGTGAGATTCATGGCTGAATACAGAACCCAGATCTCCCAGGTTCCCAGTCTAACATGTTAATCGCTATACCACCTGCAACCTTCTGAATTCTAGTAGAACAGAACAGTTAAGCAGTAGAGCTGGAAGACGCTTATGAGACCACTGAGTCTACCGCAGCCCTGCTCTGGTTCCACATGTGGTCACCCATCCGGCTGCAGGCTCGCGCTGTTCCAGCTCAGCAAAGCTTACGCCAGATGAGCTAGATGAATATCACCCTGGCATTCAAAGGCAAGCATGCTTAGGGTTGGAGTAAAAAAGCTAGGAATGCCACTGAATGCTAATCAAGGGGCCCAGTAGGGAGGCAGTGGCCAACAGATGAGACATAAATTCAAAAACAGGCCTTTTGGAGAGTTTGTCTTCTTTGGCAACTTTTATTTACACCTGTCAAATCAGAAGAAAAAGCCAAAACACAGAACAGCCCAATGTATTCGGTTTACCTCCAACAGTTTGTCATAACGTTCCGCTGACATGAGGAAACGTCCGTCTTCGAGCTGCATTTCCCTGTTCTCCAGCAAATTGTTTAACACTGGCAAGACATTCCGTTCAGCCTTCTCCAAGCCTTCCAGAACCAGGATTCTACCCTCCGTTGCTGCACGTACTGCACACTACCCGTCAAAGCAACATCAGCATGAGAAATGGAAACAGCTGTGGAAATGTTTCACCGGCACTTCATGTTTCCTGAATATCTTCTTGCAACAATCCAGATGAATACATAGGCAGAAGGGCCATTGAACCAACAACAAAGGAGAGTGAATAATGCCCAGCTGTGCCTAAGGTCATATTCACACACTTATATACAGATGTGTACACATTTCCCCCCAAATTCGGAGGATCTGGGAACTTAAGCAAGGAGAAAGCCAAGCAAAAAGAGCCAAGCATGAACACTGAGAGGGGGGAAACGATGTCAATGGAAATACTTACATGGGGGTGAAGAGCTAACACCCTTTGTCCGTGCTGTTCCTTCAACCAATCGGACATAAGAAAACCGTCTCTGCGTTGTCAAGTTTAAAAAATTCCGAAACTGAGTCAGAACACTTGTCCATCCAGCTATACAGTGACTCGCAGCGGCAGTGGCTGGTTTCACAGAACCCTCCCTAGTGATGCCCAGCATTGAAACTTGGCCTTTCCACATGCAAAGCACGATGCATGATGACTGACATGGAACACGGACAGAGTTTCTCAGTCACTTGGAACACAGAGCTCCTTGAAGTTTGGGCTTTGAATCTTTGGAGAGTAATTCTCAGCAGACTGACACAAAAAGCGACGAGAGGAAGTTGTCTGGCTACTCACCTGGTCGATATAGTAGGCAGTTCCAGCTCGGATCTCTCTCCGCTGCTTGAGATCATTTTCCGTTGTGTCTCTGGAGAGTGCAATGTATTCCACCTCTTGCTTAGTCAACTCCTGTAGAATGTACCACAATATTAGAAGCATGCAAATGACAATCTGTGCAGTAAATTACACAAGAGGCCTGAGAACCCAGCGGCATCTAGCACCTTAGTTTAGCATTCGCCCTCTGTTGACACGTTTTCCCTTTTCTTTATATTGCACTGCTTTATCAACCTTGCTAAAACATTCGGATTTAACTAATTCAGATGGAACAAAACAGCTATTTCCTTCTTGCATCGAGATCAGCTCAAAGAGAAGCACCAATATTTTAATAGCTAGATTTTATACTGTGTATTACATTTTATGGTATTTTACTGGTTTGCTGGTTGCCCCTTGACTTGATGCATTGTGGATGCTTGTTACGGATTATGCATTGGGTTTTGCTGGGGTTCTATTTCAAATGCTGTACATGGCTTATACCTAAGTTTTTTGGGGTTATGAGTTGTTGTGGTTTTAATTTATTTCAGAGAGCCATTCAGCTGATGGATGGTATAAACACATTCCAAATATTTATTGTGGCAACAAACAGACAAAAATAACCATTTTAAAAACTGAATGGTTTGAATCAAGCACCTTCAAATCGGGAAAAACCTCTACAGCTCTTGATTATCAAAGAGACTCTTGTCACGGAGAGATGGCAGCTTTGCAGGGCATTAAGTTGAAAATCAAAGCAGAAAGCTAAGTATTGCTGTACACAAATGTAGGAATTCTCAGTCTCCACAGATGTTCCCACATGAAAATAAAGTAGCTCTCCAAAAACTTACCAAATACTGCATAGCTATAGACCGTCGAAGAGGCCCAGGAGGTCCAATAAGGAAGATATCTTGGCCCAAAAGATCTTTTTGCATTATCCATCTTAGATGCTGAATTACAGATTGAGCCAGAGAATCTGAAACTAAATTAAAAAGCCGCATGAACTCTGATCTGTATTATGCTTTAAAAAAAAAAATCTAAAGAAGAGTTTTATGCTGAATACTCCTTATCCATTGGCACAAGGAGAACAGTGAGGATTCCTATAGGATATTTAGACCCATTTTACTACTGCTGAAAGCCGGGGGAGGGGGGTTGCAAGAGGAAGGGCAATTTCACCTTTCAGAACAGTAAATTTAACCCTGAATAAGACATGCTTCTAGTCAGCAGCACTAGCTGTGTACTTTGCAGCTGCAGCATCCTAGCACCTGCTCACTCCTACACCCATTGCAGTTTAGTCTTTCGCTAAAAATAATGTCCAAATCCTCTTGCCAGGCCACCATGGCCAAGCCGGGGCAGGAAAGCCATGGTTCCCATGTGACTTCCATTTGCTGCCACATTCTCAGTATCTCAAGCCACTAAACCAGCACAACATCTAGCATTTGACAACGACATCTGTGCCGTTACCGCGCCATTCACACAGCCCTATCTGCATGTCTGTAGCAAGGGCAAGGACAGAGTCAAGCCCCAGGGAACGGAGGCTCGCTGGCACGGGGAGCAACAGCCGCTGAAAAGCACAGAGGTGCGGGTGCTGGCCTGGGAGACTGGACCTCCAGGTGCCGCTCACTCGCGATGCGCACTGGGTGACCTTGGGCCAGTTCAGTTCTTGGCCCAAGCTACTGCAAAGAGACCATGTCAGGATAAAATGGAGAGAAGGAGGACGGTCAGGTTCCTGGCAAGGGAAAGGAGATGTGATATAAATGCAAAAATAACTCCAAAAATACATTTTAAAATCTTGCAAAGGTCAACACTTCAGCAGTAAGTAGAGAAGAAGCACAGTAGTGGTAAAGGAATGCATTACAGGGTTTCCTTTTGCCCAAGAAAATACTGAACCAAGGCATAAATTCGTGTTCACTGAAAATACGCCATTATATGGGAACAACCCCAATGCTGGAACAGCTCATAGGAGTTGGATGCCATCCCACAGTCCCCGAGAATACATTTCTGTCTGGACCAACCGCTGACAAGGAAAACACACCAGTAGAGCGCTTTGAGGCAATATTAAACAATAACCACCCATAAAACAGAGAAACAGGCAGAAGTGGAGACGGGAAACAGCAGCATCTCTAGTGCGAGTGCCTCGCTGGCTGAAAGGGATCTGCACCCTACTGCAGCCAACCTGCCCAACAGCCAAGTACACTGGAAGCCGCCGTCTGGATGAACACCTCGACAATGATGGGACCCCACTCCCTCCTGCTCCCCACCCAGGAGCCTGCACGGACAGCAAGCCTTCTACGCACCACAAAGGTTTCACACTGAGGCATCAGGAACCGTCACGAACACTGCCATCTCTCACACTGGCCCAGTGCCGCTATATGAACACGCGAGCTGCAGCAAGGGAAAGCAGCGCGCAACGATACGTACAGAATGATACTCCGCAGTCTGCTACCCATGAGGAACAGCACGACAGCATTCGAAGGAAAGAAATGCGTGAACTGGACGCCGGGTTAGAGGGTAATCCGTGTGCTCAGAAGGAACTTTCGCACGAGCGAAACTGGCCCCAAGAAGCAGCAGTTCAAGTAGTGGCACACCACCCTAGTTCCCCCAGGCACCAACGAAAAGGTGGTTCAAGTTGGGTCCACACCCACAGCTCCAGGCACATGAATGCCTGCTGGGAACATGCAGAGATGGGCAGTCCCTAGCACACATTGGCCCACCAACAGCACCAGGGATGACCAGTGCATGCGTCTCAGTAAAACCTCTCGCGTGCATAAAAACTCACATTCTAAAGGGAAGCCCAACGCTCCGTTCATACGACGAGGGAATAAGTAGCAAGATTTCCTGCCCCTTATGCAGGCGCGGAGACATGAGAAGCGCAAGCACGGCTATGAGACAAGGGAAGGGAAGAGCCCTGAAAGAGGCTGCAGCCACTATGGACTCTACTCCACAAAAAGGACAAATGCGCTGCCACAACCACAGACTCACTCGCTGCCACCTGAACGCACGTACGCCCACCAGGTTTGCCAGGAGCTCGGCCGCTGCTAAAAACAGAAGCACATGATGGGAGGCTAAGTGGCAGCCACTGGGAAAGGGCAGGGTGGTGTGGGAGAAGCGCCGTGAGTGGCAAAGGGACGCGAGACTCAGCTGCTGCGGGAACGCACCACACCATGTGTGTTCGCTCTCCCAAATGCACAAAGCAGCCAACTTGCTCCAAGGCAAAAGAACGCGACAACTGCACAAGTTTCACCATGGCAATAAGACCAGTGTGGCAGATCAATTTTGTGGCTTTAATGCATGCTTTAATGGCCACTACAGTGTTCCATTTTTAGCTCGCATGCGCTTGTGAAACGGATACTTCTACCGGAGTCCAGAAGCAGAATAGAAAACTGCACAGCACAGCCTGCGAAAGTGCAATGGGATTGTAGCACCCAGTCTCAGGTAACAGGCCAACCTGCAGCTGCATTTGGAACAACCTGCAGTTCACCGGCCAGCTTCAAAGGCTGCCCCACACCAGATGAGAAGCACCAGAGAACTATCCGTGCTATGCAACCAAACGTTGCTGGTACATTTCACATTAATAGGCTCAGCTAGTTGCATTTTTAGTTATGGCTTGAAGGAAAGAAATGGGATCAGACGTAAAGAGATACCTAAAATAGAAACAAGATTCAGGAATGCAGAGCTGGCTGTCATTCAGAACAGATCATAAATGCTATACGGCACACAAGAATAGGCGACGGTCCCAGGGGCACTGCCCTCTGGCCATAAGAGCACTCAAAGGCACTTACATCCTCGTCGTCATCTCAATGTTGCGCAGTGTATTTACCCTGGAGTATTCCGAGCTGTATTCACTTTCCACAAATGTTACTATTTCCTTGATTTGGAATAACGAGAGCACAGAATGGCTTGCAGACACGGGCTGACAAATGCATTCAGCTGATCTTCCAGTGAAATGTTGATCGAGAATGAGGGTGAGGATCTGGTGTGTATTACTGAGACTCAGGTGGGTGAGCTGGGTACCAAAACCCATGCTGGATTGGACCAATGCGCCACTCTGTCCAGCACTCCATCCACAACTGTGGCAAACCTGGGCGGGGTGTTCTAACCTCCCAAATCCAAGGGCTCTGTGTCAGGATAAGAGGGCTGGCCAGTGGAGAAGGAAGGAAGATACATCTGGAAGGCAGGGTTTGCTTTTTCCCAGTTCCGGAAGAGAGGAAGGGAATCCACGTCTTCCATTGACCATATTGCCTAACCTCCCGTCTTCTCACTTCGCTTGTTGCTTTTGCTATTAAAGCCAGCCTAGCTGGTCACTGGGAGCCTCTCTGCCATTGGACACTGGGCAGCCAGCATCTACGTTTCATTTCCTACCGGACCTACTGGAAATATTTTCATTTCAACAAGCCTCCCTGATGAACCAGTCATGGCTTTTGTGGTGCAGTGCAATTGTAAAGGCCTGTTCTCGTTCAACACACTGATATTCCACCGAGGTGGAAAGGTATTGGGTAAATACACAGCTAACATTACAAGAGCGCAAGTTAACATTGTCAAGCAGTGCATGGACGAATACTGAAGGCTGAGATTTATCCAGCTGGACACCTACTCTGGACTTGGGTTTAAAAGAATAAAGTTTCTTACTGTAGTTCACTGGGACAAGTTCTGGATTCTTTGGAGTTCTGAGCTTATACGACACATCTCCAATGGTAACTGTATCACCTGAGAAGAAGAAACAGACTTGTAATTGACTATTGGTTTAAATATGCCCTATGTGTTTATAATAAATCTAACTCAAATTCACAAAATGGAAATATCTGCTCTGTATTCTTGCAGTAGACTACAGAGCTTGAGATTTTAACTATGAACGTCATCATAGCCTTTGTGCCCTGTTTGTTGGCTGTCATAATAAAGATTTGTACAGAATGGCAGAACCAGCTCAGCTTCTCCCTTACATAAACTCCTGGCCTTTATGCATTGAAGAATTATTTTTGGAAATGGGGCAATGCAAATAAATGTAACAATCCATCATTTTATTTCTTTATTTCATTTCATTTCCACACAGTCCAATAGCCAGAGCTGTCTGTGTGATTTACAACAGGTTGCAATACTCCACCTGCACTTCCCAGAAGCAGGTAGATCACTCAAGCTGCGACACTAACATGTTCTGGAAAAACCTGCATTTCCCCAAGATCCCAGCATTGGGCAAGAGTGACGGGTTTTCCTGATAGTATTTTTCATATGCTTCTCGCCTCCACCTCTTGATTGGTCATAGAAGCGACTTGCCAAAACCTTGTGCTAATTTATATAGTATACCCTTGCAATCACAGAATCATTTCCAAGGACAGACCTACCATTCAAAAGGGCAACCCATCAGTTTTGGGGATACCTTAAGAGGGCCAGAAAGGTGCTGAAGGAGCTGTTATTGCCACCACAGAAGTTGCCATTTTACTGCTTGCAACAGAAAATAAGATGTCTTGATCTAGCTATCCATTCCTACATGTTCTGCAATGATTACCAGTACCAGGCAGCTTTACGGTAGAAGGCAGACATGGAGAATGCATTGGATCTAATTGTTAACAGGATTGTGGGCTTCTGTTCAGCCACTGAGGTGATCTGATCCCATATCTGACTTGTATGTCACTGAAAAGAATGTGACACGATAAGACAGCATCATCTCGGGGATGAAAAACAAGTTGGCTGGGCTAAACTAACAGGAAATGTCAGGACTTCCTTGAGGAATCAAATGGGATTTGTTCTAGATTAATATAAGTAACGTTAAGCGGCAAATAGGAAATAGCCATGCTGGCATGGACACAGGGAAGGGGAGCAAAAGAGAACGCCTGTGGAGAGAGAAGGGCATACAATGGTCATTTCTCAGCCTAATACTTAATCACTGGATAGGGAAGTGGTAAGCAGAAAAAATATTTGCTCCCTAATCTTTCTGGATCATGGGGCAAATAGGCATCATGCCATGCCAACAATTCTAAGCTTTCATTTACTTTTCTCCCATATTTTGATCAGTGATAAATTTCTAAACAGACTATTATTGATCATTTCGCATATTAACCATCTGGGTGAACTACTGCTCATTTTGAATATTAATTTGAAATTGACTGATAGTCCTAGGTACATGGAATATATCCATCAGTAATCTTTAATATTGCTTTTAACATGGCAGAAATGAGTTGGGAGACTCTGACAGGCAGTTTCAGGAAGCAGCAGAAGCAGCAGAGAGAGAGCAAACGGACTTTGATCAAAACTGAAGTTATTTGGCAGAAGACTAACAATCATGAGGCTGTTCTGACAAAAATTTATTACCCCGTAAAACCTCAAAGAGATAAGGAAGAGCACACAATCCAGAAAAAGCCCGGAGGTCAAAAAGGACGCTTACAGAAGAGGGAGATTCTGCTCAGAAAAGGCAGAACTTCTGCTCAAATCTCAGTGGTGGCACACAGAGAAACCCACAAATGTCTAAGATATACAACAAAGGTTTCATACAGAATTCTGGAGGAGTTACTTCTGTGCAATTCCGACTATAAAGGCCATTGAAAGAGAAGCAGAGAAGGAATAGGAAGGCAGGGCAAACTGCCCATGGTTAGTACTCTAAAATAAAACAGCCATGAATCAAAAAGGCAGCTGGCACATGGTCGTCAGTTCTTACTTGCTGGCTGATGAAAATCAGGACTGAAAGACATCACTGACATTTTCTAAGTCAGCTAGAGAACAAATTTGCCTTCCTGATGCCACTCACCATAGCACCAATAAATACTAAGAATCCCCCCCCCCTTGCAACTCTGATATAAACGTTTTAATGACATGGCACACTTGCAAACTTGATATTTACTTCTTGAGGCTGAGTACATTTGTAAGGCGTCAGTTTTTAATAATGGCCTCTCCAACAATTCCTCAGTATAATGGAGCGGCTAGGACTAACATTCGAAATTTCTCCAGTAACCAAAAAGTGTATGTTCTACAATGCTTTCATCAGGGATACTTAGTACGGGATTACAAGGTTCGATTACCAGCCAAACAGCCTGCACTTATACACATTGCCAAGCCCTTACCAATGCGGTCTAGGACAACAGTTAAACTGTTACAGGGGGGTAGGGGGGAGCCAATGTGTGTGCGGTAGCAAACAAAGCAAAACAAACAAAAAAGCCTTCTTTGTGATCAGAAAGATGTGGAGTGGCTAGTTCACGTCTTTGTTTGCTTGTCTGCGAAGTATTGTCTGCGAGAGCCAGAGCTCTCAAAAGCTCTTAAGGCCAGGCATCTGGTCAGAGATGGGGCAGAGAAATACAGGTGCTGCGGACAAGGAAGGGCTGGAAGCAGGCAGGTGGGTAAAAGACGCAGGCAGAGCTGAGAAACCGCTCCAGGAGAGCCTTATCTTTCCCACAGGAGGGAAAGGGGAAGGAAATGAATGCAGAGACGTAATAGTGATTGATGAGAGGGCTGGCGCTGGGAGACCTGGCGACTCTCCGACTGCCTATCTCGCAGGGCTGTCGTGAAGGTAAAAGTTAGCGGAGGAGAGCCCTGCATTCTCCACAGGAGAAAAAAACAGGACATAAGTGCAGTGGCATAATGCTGATTGATGAGAGCGGGAGTGGCGAGAGGGCTGGTGCTGGGTGACCTAGGGTTTCTCCGCCTGCCCACCTCGCAAGGCTGTTGTGAAGGCAAAAGGGCGCGGAGGAGAGCCTTGTCTTCCCCATAGGAGGAAAAAGCCAGGATGTCAATGCAGTGGCACAGAGACGACTGCTGAGATCCGGGAGGCGAGAGGGCCG